CAGGCGTTGGCCCAGTAGCTTAGGGTAGCTCGAGGGGACCTTGTAAATCACACGAAATGCTTCGGTGGGGTCCACACGATGCCCTGAGTCCACTGCATGCGCAAGGATGGCGCTGTCTATTCTCCTAGTTTCACCCTTTGCCAGCCATGCGGGAAGGTGCTCTCGTATTCTTTTGGAAAGGCGCCGACTCGTACGACCAATATAACCTGCTCCACAGGAGCAAGTGAATGAGTAGATGCACATTGAGGCGGTCTGAGGTGGCAGCCTATCCTTCCCTTCTCCGCGTAGAATAGGGTTAGTGGAGAATGATATGCGAACCCTTGCCGCTGGGAAGGTTCCCGAGACAGCTTGGTCAAGGCGTCTTCTTAGGAGTTCACCTGCAGCGTCTCCTTGGAAGGGGACTTTGAGGAACAACGTTTTCTTCTCGGCGGTTAGTGTGGTGGGTTTTGCAGGTCGTTCGGCAAGGTTCTTTGCAATGAACCTGTCAGGATACCCATTTTCGCGAAGCAAGTCCTGGATTTTTCTAAGTTCCTCCTCGATACTATCTGTCGAACAAATTTTTCTAGCCCTTTGTGCCAAACACCTGACTAGATTCCGTTTTTGTTGGAGAGGTACGAAACTAGCGAAGTTCGTATATTGTCCAGACCAGGTTTTCTTTCGATAGACACTCCTTCGGATGCTACCGTCAGATCTCCTGTTTAGAAGGACATCTAAGAAAGGAAGCGAACCAGCCGACTCCATCTCCAACGTGAATTTGATCGACGGATGTGCCTGATTTGCAGCATTTAGGAGGGCAGCGACGTCGGTTTCTGTGGTTGCAATCGCAAAGATGTCATCAACGTAGCGACCATAATGTTTAAGCTTCTTGATCTGATCGCTTAGTTATATTGGTCGTACGAGTCGGCGCCTTTCCAAAAGAATACGAGAGCACCTTCCCGCATGGCTGGCAAAGGGTGAAACTAGGAGAATAGACAGCGCCATCCTTGCGCATGCAGTGGACTCAGGGCATCGTGTGGACCCCACCGAAGCATTTCGTGTGATTTACAAGGTCCCCTCGAGCTACCCTAAGCTACTGGGCCAACGCCTGCTAGCAACAGCAGAAGCGGCCGCCATAAGGTTACGAAAACCGACCCTATGCGCCCAAAAGAACCTTGTTCAGGCTCCGCGCTTACCGTGGTCAAAGGTTGACTAACCACATGCAACTTTCGGCGCCCTTCCGCTCTTGCCGAGCCTATAATTTAAAACCTAACTTTTATCGATTTTTGTTTCACTCACTCTACCCCGCCCTATGTAATTGTATTGGCCTGATGAGAATTTACCGAAAGGAACGTTCACTCGCCAATCTCTCTTCTAATTACCTTTTGACCAAATTCGGCCTGATATGTGGAATGTGGGGTGGAGCGCCGAGGTGCGGTCGCGAACCTGCCATCCATCCGTGCCCTCCTCCGCCTCCGGTCTTCTTGACTCTGTCTTGACACAGGGCTCAGTGGGGGAGAAGGAGAGAGAGCGGTAAATGTTGTGCAAGTCTACACTCACTATAAACTAAATCACGCGCAAGTCATCGTGCCTGCCTCACCATGTTGTGGAGCACAAGGTGGACATCGTCGGATGCGACGGTCGAACTGTCATGCGGTTGCTCTTCCGACCACCCGTTCGGATTTTGATTGGCAGTAGGCCAGTGTACGCCTGCTCCTGTACGATCTACCCTGGTTTTCCACCCAAATTTCCTCAGATGTCGTTAATCTCGAAGTAGGACCATCAGATGGTTCTTGGTTTCATTATTTGCGGCCGTTCCTTTTCCCACATTTTTCTTCTACCAGGCCTGCACTTGAAGTGGAGGAAAAATGAGAAGCAGAGCGTTTGCCCTAGCACTCAGAAGGCCGAGGTTTTCCGGTCCGAACTCCAAGTCCCCTCGGCCTGTGTTTTAGAGTGCTGTTCACCACTGCGAGCGAGAATCGATTGGCAAATATGACTTTTCGTCAACAAAACTCATCGGAATTTTCATAACGCGCTACAGCGATAACGGTTTCATTTACTAGACTAATGTGAATAGCCAAAACGAAACTGTCAAACGTAGCGGCAAAGTTGTGAATTCTGAGCAAAAGCAAAAAGAAACAAGGGTGGCTGTAGGGGGAAAAGTAGAGGACAAAACTCGAAATTCTACGAAAAGAAGACAAAGTATAACCAACAAAACGTATTTTACGACTCCCGGTATCTAAGGTGGCAACCGGCTGCTAAGTAAGTAAGTCATTTGCGTTGGCGCCAAAGTCAGACCAATTTGGTACGCACACAGATGCGTGGCCATCGTGTTGTCCAGGGTCGTGAAGATGTGCGAAAACGCTGGCAGTCAGACTGATGCTTCTTATGGGCACGACAATCTCAGGCAGAATGTAGATTCTCGCGGATCGGGAGTCCGGCATGTTAGTAAATTGTCAAAAATTGTGGCAAGTGAAATAATTTCAGGCCATGCGAGTTTTGATTTCTCTGAAAAGGTCAAAGTTACAGATCTGGCAACCAAGGCAGCAGCTCAAATAACGTGATTCCAGAGGTAGCGGGGTAATTCACAATCAGCGCAGCACTGTGTACCGGAGCGCAAAAACTGAGGGTTCCTTTCGGACGAGGAGTATTATTGTCTGGTACTGGGCGGAGGGGTTTCCTGAAGGGATTTAGTGGTTTGGCATTTTGACCTGAAGAATTTAAAGTCACTTGAGGATGACGTCCATTTATCTCTCCTAATAGCAGATGGAGACTGATTTTTCTATTGGTAGGGGGCTCTCACCGATCGTTCTTACGGAACTCACTCGTCCCGTTGTGCCTTACGGACTCCCTCTCGAGCACAACCAGCAGCCGCACAGCGGCGCATGAAATAGGCAGCATGGTAGTTCCGACAAAGACAAGGAGGCTGGAATGGCCATTTCTGGCTTATTAGTCGTTGTCAGCCAGCCATGCCTAACTCCGAAGTGTGGAACACCCGAGGTTTGAACTTGCGACCTGTTAGTTGGAACCCACACCTCCAACGCCTTCGCGACCCTTGTCTTTTGTCGGTAATACCATACTGCCTATATCATGCACCACTGTGAGGCTGCTGGTTGGGCTCGAGAGAGAGAGCCTGTAAGGCACAACGGAACGATTGAGTTCCGTAAGAACGATCGGCGAGCGCCCCCTACCATTGTTTATTCCCGATCGAAACCGACAGGGCAAGGGACTCGTGGCCCGTGGTTAGAGGCGTGGACTTCTAACTAACAGGTCGCGAGTTCGAGCCTCGGATGTGCCACACTTCAAGGTTGGGTGTGACTGGCTGAAGACGGCTAATAAGCTAGAAAAGGCCATCTCAGTCTCCCTTGTCTTTGTCATTAATACCATACTGGCCAATTTTTCTGTTTTGCTTTGCAGAACAGGATTTGGAGCTAACATAGGAGATCATATGGCAACCAATCATCAAGATACGTTATCCACTTCGACTGGCGACACTGGAATGACCGTTTCTGGCTTATCAGGCGTCATCAGTCAGGGATACGTCAACCCTAGGTATTGGAGCACACTGAAATGCCCAGTTTGACCCTGCAAATGGGACAGATAAGTGGACATTACTCTACTACCAGTGAACGATATTCCAGTTTTGATCTGCAGGCCCAGGCTAGTGTACTATTCACTACCAACAACAAATAAGCGGTAATTGAATATCCACGTCCGCATTGCTAGGCCGGTAACTACCATGAAAATAACAGCCTTTCGCCCGAATAGAAAGCACCTAAGACGTCAGTCCGTTTGAGAAGCATCACAAACACTACCCCGCGCCCGTAGATTTGGAAAGCGTTAGAAGGTTCGGATTGCAAATGGTTGAAGTCGGAGTTGGAGAATTATCGAGGGGACTTTCACATAAAATACGTAGCAGCTGAAACTGGGGCTTGTAGAGGAATGGCGGGCTGTCGAATTGCACGGAAATCTGCAATTCCTATAATTATTTGATAGCTTGGTACTCAGTAGCGAACATCGGTAAATGCCCCGTGTTCAAACGAAAAGCATGATATTAAAGTCTACATATTTCTAAAGTACAAGTCGCTAATGAAGAAAAATTCCTAGAATACCTTAGGAAACCTTCTGTCATGAGCGGTATGACAATTGGGTCTTGAGGCCTCTTGAACGTCCGCCAAGTCTAAGGGTTGTAATGCAGCAGCTCTTTTAAGAATGGCCGAATATAACTTGATCATTGAATGTCTAATCAAAATTACCTTAATATTCAACTTTAGCATGGAAAAATGAGACATCAAAACCATCATTAGTAAGCTCATTCACTAATTATTTCTGCGGACAGACATACGCATCCGAGGTAAGCTTCCACCAACAATCCCCAACGTTGGTCTATAGTCGCTACGCCAAGCAGATAGAGCAGAGGAGTGAAAAGTGAGTGTGCTACGCGTTCAGTGTTAAGTCGAAGCGCGAAACTTCACGCATAATCCTTGACAATTGGTGTTGTCGGTGATTTTGCCGAAGGGATTTGAAAATGATAGCGTTTACCACACGGTCGCAAGAACGCGTCGTAAAATGCACAGGCGTGCGCAAAAAGACCGTGGACTGCCGCACTCTGCGGCGCGGAGGGCGCCGTCCGTGCGATCGCGATCCGTCACTGGCGCGTCGGACCCCGCGAATAGAGTTGATCGCGTGACCATCCGGACGGTCGATAGGTTTGTCGAGCGCGTGCGCAAGCCAAGGTCAATCGATGACACTTGTGATTGGTCCATTTACGCACCAACCGGTAAACCGGATCAGTCAGGTTATTTTGATTTGCTCACGATGAAGGGATCTGATTCGACTACTGCATACACGAAAACGTGGGCCACCCATTTGGTTATTTTAACCATTTCAGGATATGCAGGAGTCAGCGCCCACGTGTGTCGTGGAGGCGTAGTTACCTCGGTTTTCAGACTGTAAACAAATCGGATCTTAAAACAGAAACCGGTTCGTCTCGGGAACAGTATCTTACTCCAATCAAGGGAGTTATGTCCATATCTCAAAGGTTTGTCAGCGTGTCCACCAGGATTATACCGACTTGCCTGTACAATGCGCTTTCTCCTTTCTATTTAATGAAACTGAAGATAGAGGATTGTATAACAGCATTTAATATTTATTCTTAATAATAGTTCTGTTGTGACTCGAGGTTAACCGGTTCCTCAAATTCGATGCACTTCTATTTGTGACGATTATTAATATTTGCCTAAGATCCACGAGTTCGACTGGGCATGTCTGGCCCTTAGCCGCCGAGTCTAGTACTCTGGGTTGGATTTAGTTCAACCAAAAGGAGAAATAATACAAACACGCGTTCAAGAATTTAGAGCGGTGCCTCTTGTTGCATGAGTAACTTGACATCAAAACCATTTTTTGTCGCCGTCAAGTGATCCTGTGTTTTGTCTTTATATGCAATCGTTTTGCCTTTTTCTACGTAAACTGTTTATCCGAAAGAGTTAGTATTTTCATAATAATAGAACTTATTTTGCTTATCATCGTTATCAGCATCGATTCTGACATTCTTGGTTTTTTGGGCGGAAAATCAAAACGATAATCGAGTCTACCGCAGAATAGATGAAATGGGGGGAGGGGTCTTAAAAGGTGGGCCATGGTGCGGCAACTGTCTTCAACTAGGCGTCATGTCATGGAATGGGACTTCGAGTCAACGATGGAAGTGATCGCGATTTTGTTAGACATTTCAGAAAATCCTTACGCCTCCAAAGGTCAGCACGGTGGCAATTCGCCTACTTATTCCTCTCATTTGTCCCTGCGACCATTCCAAGTGGAAATTAGTTGACAGGACTCACAGGCCTCAGCTGCGGACAATGTTGTATGCGAGACCTAGGATTTAGGACGGATGAATTTGGAATTTACTCTCTTTGCCCGAATGTATGCGGCAAAAATAGGCAATGGTATTAATTTCTTTCAAATAAACCAAGTGACTATTCCCATGAAATGTTAACTAAAATCCTGAAATGTGTTTTCACCTAGAAAGGATTACTTAAGTTGGGTCGTAATATTCGTTGTAGTTCAGCACAACCTCAAGGTACTTCAGTCACCTCAGAATGCTCTCTTTTAAATAAATTGCTTTTTATTCACCTGCAAAAACCACAGCGTAACAAATGACCATCTGTGTGGTATGTATCTTTTGCATTGATTTCAAAACGGTCCTTATGAATTCGAATACATTTATCGGAAAAGTGCTGAAAAATATGTGCCCTTATGCCATGTTGGCAGCAACTCACATCTGCTTCAAATTTCATGCTCGAAGAGAGAACATCTTTTTGTTTCAGACAGGTTTTCCAAAGCCCAAATAATTTTGAACCCAACCTTTAGTTGTATTTGCATTTGGGATTGATAATCTACAATCTATATACCTTCTACATCGTGAAAATCATGTAATCCCCTATGCCATTAAGAAGATTATGAAGAAGGTTTTCTGAGGAAAGTGGACTATGCTGTATGCTGATTAATAAACGGACAGAAACGATGGACACTTCGGGGTTTTGAAAATGCAATAATTGCAATTTATTTTAAAGCCGGTAAATATCTTTCCTTCCAGTATAAAATTTGTAGAAAACAAGATTTTCTGCCAAGTGAGTATGAGAAAGGATATTTGTACAAATGTCTTATATAAAATATACCTGAATTTATATGGGCATCTAAATCAAAGAGTTATTTTTGCCGAGTGTGGTTTTTGCAGACGACTGGGAAGAAATTTAATCAAAAGCCGAAATCCTGGCGTGGCTACAATATTTCGAGATTATGCTGTAAGATGATCAATATTACAACTAAATGTAAGAAATCCTTCCCAAATGAAAATGAATTTCACGACTCAGACCATCATTTCATGAGAATGCTCATTTACCTCATCCGACTGTATGAGTCATGGCAAATTAGCTTGCGCACACTTCAGGGTCACCAACTAAAGAAGACTGTGTGCGTGCTTGTCACGAAGGTTTGTCCGCTTCCAGCGGCTGGTCTACTGCCGGTAGTCTAACGTAGTCCTAAATACACTCGATATGACAACCTTTAACACTCGGGCATTATCGTCGTTGGGCACTGAGAGGCTATCCCTCATCCTACCATTCTTGTATATTCTTCGACCGCCTTTCTGGAGTAATTTGGGAAGCAGTAGCCAACAGCCTGGTTGTGACCCAATTTCTTCTTATGCAGCCGTTTTCAGCCGAGTAAACTGCCCAATTTTACTTCTCCCCATCCAGAATTGCAAAAATACAGGAGAACAGTGAACAGTGGAAAAGCCGGACTCCGCTGAGGCGTCCAGAGGAGGAAGGAGAGGGTATCCCCGTGAGGAGTGTTAGTCAAATTCAAAACGCTCTACGGCAAAGTCAAGAGGAATGGCGGAAGCGTGTAAAGGCGGGCGATGTGGAACGCTTTTCAATGTCAGAAAGGCTCCTTCAGAGTGAGTTAATAGTACTCTTATGGGGCTCTTCGTTAATATTTTTTTCAGGGACGTGGGCTAAGTCTTCTGATTCGGTCCTCTCACAAACCGACTCAGCAGCGTTTCCGTTAACCGAGTTTAGCAGCCCTGAGAAGATTTGGCACCAGTACCCAACTTAATTTACCCCGACGTCAGACCGGCGAGTCTATCGCAAAGTCTGTTGCATCTCACCCTGTTGCCAGTTCGCTGACAAGTGCCCCCCCCCCCCGCACTCTAGGCAACTTCAGAAAAGCATAGACTGTGAGCATCTCTTTTAGTGTAAATGACCTATTAAATATCAGGTCCACTGGTTGCTCGATGGTGATGCCTAACAGCAGACATAAGGCTGATGTGATGTGGGAAACCGATCTCATTTAAGTGTTATGTACTAAACAGATAACGAGTGTTGGGTGAACGACCGGGTTTGCTATGGCGGGTTTTGTCTGTTTTGCAGTAGTATGTTTGACGCGGGGAGGCTGTGTTTCTGCTGATGAGTACTAACTGACTCTCAAGGTCGGAGAACGTATTGAAAGGCTGTCTGATAAGTATAGCTGGGAGTGTCCTACATACCTAAAAAGTAGGTTGCCACTGCCTGTTTTTCCGCCCGCCTTTCTTTGCTAGTGCAGCACGGGGCTGAGATTATAGAATCCATTGTTGCCCTGCTATTGAAATGTGGGCGGACCTTGCGCCGTGGTACTTAAATGACACGTGGGTTCAAGATCGCTCATGTGATCTTTTCTTGCCACCTTCACATTCGTCCTTACGGTTTGTGGGCGACATAAGTAGCTCAGGGGGATCTAAGGACAAAAATGTGGAGAGGGGGGTTAGTTGGAATCTGCGAGCTCACGCATTGCTCCGCGACGTAAGCTAATCCCACGTTTCGCTGTACACGGCAGCCCTCTCAAAAGTTTCAATTTTCAGTCACTGACAGTAGTGCAGTACAGAAAGTGTGGCAACCAAGAGACATTAATTTTTTAAAAAAAAAAACTACAGCATGGCTGGGTGGAACGTTTTTTCAACAAACGTACTAATTAGAGAGTTTGGAGTTCCATAGTCCCGAGTTGAAAAAAGTTACGCTCCTTCCTCAGGACTGAGCGTTATGATTTTGGTTTATACCCTCTACATCGATTCCCAAAATAATCAAATCAATCTGTGGGGAGTTTTTTCGAATCCCTGGTCGTCCCCTAAGGCAAAACTATCAATCACTTTTTACTCACACATTAACTATCGACCTTCATGTTCCTTATATGCGTGGGATGTGATAAATGGCTTTTCGAGGTCTTCTCTGTGTTCATAGAAGCTTGCGTGCACGATCGCACCTCAAAGTTGATCAACCCCTCAACTTGACGATTTGAACTTCAATGAGTGTCCGCCCGCGCCGGTCTGAAGGCACCACACAAGTTGGCATGCGCATATTCTCACATCTGTAGCTGGGGGTTAACTTATCATCACCGACTGCTGATGACAAATAAGCCTGAAATTGCCGGCCCAGTATTCCTGTCTTTGTGTAATTATTTACCATACTGCCAATACAGGTAGAAGCTAAAAGCCCAGACACGCGTGTTTCACCGATCTTGTGCAGCTGCTTGACGCAAGTGCGAGGGGTTCGGCTCATCAGTGGGTCCCCCAGCTTTCCCTGTGTGTTTTCTGGTATATGAACTCCAGTTTCAACTTGCCTTGCTCAATTTCGGAAGAAATTAATACGCGAAGTTGGAGTAAATCTTTCGGAACAGACCTTTTCAGGCACGGTCCGAAATTTGGTGTGAATATTTGGGCTGAAATCCATCATCTACTGCGGAATAACCGCGTAATATTCACAACCCGCCAACAGGCAGTCAGTAGTATAGAATTGTGCAATTATTTGCCAAACTGTGTGAAAAATCCGCCGGTCGTCAGGGGACCGCCGACCTGGGCTGTGGACCCTCAGCTCCAACACGAGGCGGAACTGCTCATTTCTGTCCTACGATCAGGGCAGACTGGTGCAAGAGAGTGTTTTGAGGCTGTATGTTTCCTACTCCAAACTACAAGATTCGGGCCGTTTAGTGCAGTGATTACGACGTCATTCGAACAACTGGCTTCTGTCCGAAACCCGTTTGTGCAGTCTGGCCTTAGGGTATCACTGACCAACGACAGAAATTAAGACAAAATGAGTCAATCCTGCATCCCTGTCTCAGTGAAACGTTTTGATAAAATCATAAGACACATTCGTCCCGTTGTGTCCTGGCGCCCAGCGTGGAGTTCTCGCCGGAATTTGTACAGCAATCAGTGAATATGCTGAAGGGGTACCTGATACGAGTGAATTCCGTAGAAACGATCGGTGAGAACCCCCTCTACCATTGCATATTCCCGATCGGAAAACTGACAGGACAACGGACCCCTGGTCGTGGCGCAGTGGTTAGAGGCGTTGGACTTATAACTAACAGGTCGCAGGATCAAGTCCCAGGTGTTTCACACTTCGGGATTGGGTATGACCGGCTGATGACGGCTAATGAGCCAGAAATGACCACTTGAGTCTCCCTTGTCTTTGTCAGTAATGCTTTTCTACAGTTAATATTCCCCATCTCAACAGACCCAGGGCTTAACGGTAAGACGTTGAGTGTGAAGGTTAATAACTAATGAGCCCGGGTTTGCATCTAAGACTGCTCAAACCTGGTCTTGGGTACGACTGGCTGGCGACGGCTGACAAACCAGAAATGGCCATCACACTCTCCCCGTTTTTGTTGATAATAATCCTTAGGTCTACGTCGCCCGTCAACTCTGAAAATCTACCACCCGTTTACCTCATACTTGGAGATAAAAACTAACCGATTAGAGTTCCCTGATTCTCCCGACCATCCGTAAAGTCATGGCGAAAACTGTATGTTGCTAATAAGCGCCAGAGGAGATTCTCGGGTAGAAAATGCCTTCCGATTATAAAACATACGTATGTTCGTAGAATTGTGTGTACAACCCCTAAACCTCGAAAAAGTGGAATCAGCATCAGGAAATCAAACGTGAAGCTGAGTACAGTGACCAGTGAACTGCTGCTCCCCAAATTCTCGTTTTTGTGCTTTCGTCACCCCCGCATCACGCCTATTTCCTTTGTATTCGCAGGCCAAGAAGAGGTCGTTTTACGAAAGGGCTTGAGCAGACAGTACGGGCGATGCCGTACCGTCTATATGTACCCTGGAGGTTTGGTCCCTGCCCTATTTCCCCCCCCCCCTGTTCTTGTCCTTTCGCTCGCTGCCTGCACCGCTAGAAGCGAGAAATGCATGCACTTGCACGCAAATTGCAATATCATATGCATGCCGTCTTTCCCAAATAGTAAATAGGCAAGAATGCGGACAGATGAAAGTACGCAGCCTTCGCTGTTGACAAGGTCGCTCGAGGTGGTTGCGCCTTTCGGTAATTTGGTTTTCACTAATTGGCTCCACCAGGTGCCTTGATCCTGTAATGTCCTTCAGACAACTGGATCAACCGCCTAATCGCAGCCAGAAAATATTTCCCCTCCTTGATGCTGTCTAGGGATTGCAGTTCAGAGGTTGTTTTTTAGGCACGTGCCCGCTATTAACATTCCTCATACTTGCGTATCTTGATATGGAGCGTCTTGCCAGCACTGAAGCTGAAATTTGTAAAAAAGCCTTATTTCTTACCAGCAAAATCAGCATTCCTCTCGACACGTAAGCCCCAGTAATGACCTATCGCCGATAGGCTTAGACGTGGACGCCTTCATGATGTTCGCGAGAAGTTTTGATTTTTGTCTTAGCAGTGTTGTGACCTGCAAAGTAATAATCTAAAGGTGCCTTTAAAAACCAGGTGTTTTTCAAAGTCACCTTTTAATAGCCCTACATCATTTGTCGGAATCTTTCGCCACTTTCCTAAGGTTTCTACCGCGTCTGTTTCTTAGACAAATTTATTTTGGTAGTGTACGACATATATACGTTTGGGTTGCCATCAGATGGTAAGTTTTAAAATGTCATTTACTGCCTTAAGTAGGAAGTTATCGGTGCCAGATTTTAACATCTGTTTGGTAGATCCTGCAGTATGTGACCAGTCTCATGGAATATTGGCCGAAATTTTTAAAAAACGTTTTCGATTAAAAAAAATTACGTAAACGAGATTGTAATGTTGATTATCTTACAGCACAATCCCACGATATCCTACTTCTGCTTTTGAATGAATTTCATTTCGGCCGCCGGCAAAAGCACACCTGATGTAAAAAGAGTGCCTAAATATTACGACTTTTTCTAATTGAATTTCGACACCCCTACTAATTCCAATATATTTTATTGAAAACATCTTCATTGCACTTGCTTGATGGCAAATCGTGAGACCTTCAAATTTCATACTCATATAAATGGAATATTTTGAGGCTGTGAAATGTTCATCCCCAGAGAATCGTACCGTCCTGTTTACTAATGCTCTTTGTAAGGTACAAGAGATGGTCCGCACCCATTAGAAAATAGTATGGGCCTCATATGACGTTCCCACAACAGTTTATAGAAACATATGATTTTCCTTACACAAAAAGTATGCAGCATGCGGTTAGGGAACCCTGAGCGCAGTCACAACGCGGTTTGGGGTCAAAATAGTACGGGGGTTGACAAGATTTCCAAAACCGAAAAATAACTCTTCTTCGAGTGTACAATTCGAAGCAGACGCGATTCGATACTGAATGAGTGCAAGGAAAAATAGCTTATGCATTTCTTTTATGAATATTTTTGTGTTAATAAGAGGATCAAATTTCACTTGAGAAAATCCAAATTATTTATACCATGCGGTTTTTGGAGGGAGGGGACGAAAGGAAGTTTATTTAAAAGTCGGTTTCTTGCCGCGACTGAAATATCTTGAGATTGTGCTGCACAGTAATCGATATTCATATGTGTAATCCTTTCTTGCCAAAAGCACATCTCAGCATTTCGGTTAGCATTTCCGGATGTAGGTCAGCTAATGTAGGCAATATGAATTTTTCGCATTGGTTTTCGATTCCCTTAGGATTTCAAATATATTTAGTAGAAAACATGCCGAGGAACGTCCTCCCTTGCACTCATTCGCCAGTTATTCACCTCTTTTTCAAACTGTTTACTCGATGTAAATGTAACCTTCGGTTTTAGAAAAGTTCTCCAATTCCAAAATGATTTCGAACCTGAACTGCCCTCTGGATATCTCAGTGCTTTAAAAAAGACTGGACACTGTTCCAACCTGCCATCTTTCACACATCAAAAATGTTCAGCGGTTGGGCTCATGGGCAGGAATCCGGTCCTGCGGGCCTCGGGCATATGAAACGAGGAGGCTTGGAATTGGGCTACCTGCTTAGAGAATCCACGAAGCGTGTGGTATCGGAGGGGAAGAGATGTCCCCGCTAGCATCGCTGATAGAAGCGAACAGGCGAGTCCCAGGTAGCAGTTCAGAAGATGAAGATGCGATCACTGGGACTCGCCTGTTCGCTTCTATCAGCAATCTTTTTGGGCGCGAAGCGCTCCGATCGGCTCGACGGTGGAAAACCTTTGCCCTTCGAGAGTCGTCAACATATGCGCAAATTCGATTTCTGCACAGGTGTCTCGACAACAATGTGCTGCCGAAGTGCGTTTCATACAAACCTCCGGTCAACACAGAGCTGGCGATGTCCCAGTGATCGCATTTTCATCTTCTGACCCGCTAGCATCCTCAGATATCCACGGCCTATCTCCCATTTCTATTTTTAACAAAAATCCCCAGCCAACGGCATGAGGTTTCCTTGCGTTTACAGCCAATAGCACTTTCGCCATTAGTGAAGGCGGTTTGACGACGAAACTCATCTTGTCTCTTTTGGGCTGCAGGCAAATCTGTAGGGAGATTTTGAATCCTCCGACGGATCCATTCATCTCGAGATCGGTCTGTAGCGTTTTTATAAGAACCAAGTCCACATCGACGAACAATAATAAGCCAAGCAGGATAAAATGGTCTAAACACATTGAGCACTCTAAACTGGCTGGAACTGTTTTCTTGCTTTCGACTCGATTCCTTTCACGCCGAAAGTAAACGTCTGGCATAGAGGAATACTTGGCAAGCCTTGGCGTTTTAACCTTCTTGCAAGGCGTTGCGTAATTTTGTCTTTCTCCACAAATCCAGGCGAGTTTGACTTTTAATGGGTGGGCGAGCTCGAGTCGAAGTCCTACTCGATTCATCTGTCACCCTTGCGGTCTATGATTCATGAAAAAGACACCAGCAATCTTGTTTTTTTGTGATTCCTTTCTTCGAATGTTCCTGTCAGTTGCTCTTGTAGCAAACACCCACCGTTATGGTGAAATACACGTGCTGCAGGGTACCTAACTGTCAGGTGAGAAGCGCACTGGTTCAGACTGTGTTAAATCGCCCACCGCGCAAGGTTGATTGAAATTGGTCCTGAGGAGGGAAGGATGAGGTAATAACGAGTGGAAGGTCGAGTGTCACTGATGGCGGCAGAGGAGCGCACACGACTAGGGCTGAAGGCCATGCTTTTGGCATTTGGATGGAGTTAGCCCTCAAGATTGAGCGAGCAATGCTGAAGGTCACGCGTTTGGTATTTGGAGAGAGCATGTCTCCAAAGTTGTGCAAGGTGCACTTTGACTTCCCCCTTCTAACGTGCTCAGATAAGTGATGCCACCTGCAAAATGATTCCCGGTTGGCAAGTTTTTGCCTAAGATACGGTGAGTGACCGACCTCATGAACCGTTGGTCGAAATTCTGAAATGTGCTTTCGAATAGGAAGAATTACCTAGGTTGGACTGTAAGATTAATTATCTTGCCATGTGATTCCGCGATATTTCGGACTTGGCAGGATGTCGGCTTTTGAATGCACTTCTTTTTCGACCGTCTGCAGAACCCGCACCCAGTAAAAAGTGATTGCCTAAGTGGCATTCACTTTTCACATTGATTTTCGATGGTCTAATAAATTTAAATATATTTTATTGAAGACATGCACAAAAAACACTGTCTTCGACTTTTTCGGTAGAGAATCACGTCGTGTTCACATTTCATACCCGTAGAAAGAGTATATTTAGTGTTTAAAACAGTTTCTGATTATGAGATGTTTAAGAGCGTACGATGGCCATGCATACAATATCGTACCTGCCCATTTACCAATGCTCCTCGTGAAATATACGAACTCCATATAGTATCTTCCTAAAGCCTTAAAAGAATATAAGATTTTCCTTACGCGAAATGCATGCAGCGTGTAGAGTGAAATCGCTAAACGCTAATGCAACGGCTGATCAGACTCAAAATTGTTCGGGAAATGGGAACCGTTTTCAAAGCCAAAATATACCCCTCCTACGGGTATGAAATGTGAAGGCGACGTGACTCTCTACCGAACAAGTAGAAGAAAGTGTTTTTGTGCATGTCTTCTATAAAATATATTTAAATTTATTAGACCATCGAAAATCAATGTGAAAAGTGCATGTCACTTAAGCAATCACTTTTCACTGGGTGCGGGTTGTGCAGACGGTCGAAAAAGAAGTGCATTCAAAGGCTGACATCCTGGCAAGTCCGAAATATTATAGGATTATGCCGTATGATAATTAATGTCACCACCCCACTTAACTAATTAATCCTAATCGAAAACGTATTTCAGAATGTCGACCAACATTTTATGAGATCGGTCACTCACTGCAAGTTTTAACGTGACACCAGAGATACAAATTGCCGGTAGATGCAACCGTCGGACCAATGCATATCAAAAATTACCGGGGTGGTGTTATTAGTAAGAGATTTTTCTTGACCGTGGGGTAAATTTCGCACGCGTGTGTTTTGGCTTATTATACCTTTCATTGATGTTTTGGTAATATGAATTATTCAAAATCTGCCAAAACATCAATGAATTACGCGAGCCTGGTTGTCATCTGGTGGATTCTAGGTGAATTACTTAGGAAATCCTGCTTTGGCAGTCAACTTACTGTATCAGATTTGGTGGATTCCAGACGTTACAGTAGGTTGGGCGGGTAACTTGGTCCAAATGCGATTAAACTCGCGTCGTCCGGCGGGGCCTCGTAGCTCAGGTGGTTAGAGCGTTGGCTGTGCTAAAGCCTTCCCCTTACTGCGTGGGTTCGAATCCCACCGAGGCGCCGAGTTTTTCACAGTTGGGTCAATATGTATTATACCTTTCTTCTAACGATAGGTTTGTACACAGAAGCTGATTATTTTTTGTGGTTACGTTCTCAACTTCAATCTGACTACTTTTCTCCATGTTGCCATACCAAAACCTAGCTTAGTTGGGCTTACATTCTTCCATCACTTGCTTTACGGACAAAAAGACAACCCAACTGGATGTACAACGCTTTCTCGCCTTGAATGTTTAATTTGGCTACAAAAATCGCTGCTGCATATGCATGTTTCAGATTTTCACGAAAGGAATGCATTTCTATCCTAACTTTTATCCTAGAATAGGCGCGTACTGCATGAATGGTTTAACCCTAGCATTTTGTTTCAGGAAATTTATGGATTTCCATTTCTCACCCAGAATGTTCAGAAACGTTTACTTTTTCTAGTATTTTTTAATGACGTTATAGAGGGCTCCTCAGATGAACTCAATAGTGCTCCACTGGGTGCGTCGGAATCTCCACCGAAAGCTCAGATTGAACCAAGGAGACTTCCACAGGTGGCGATCATTCGTAAATCCTTCTCTCTTGGTAAGCACACACTACTGAATGTGCCATTTCCGAATCCTAGACGAGAGGCGTTTGCCCGTACTTCTACACTTGTTAAGCAACACCTGCCCTACCAAACGCACACCCTTCTCTCCATACAGCTTCCTGTTCTGGAGAATACTTTCTCCCATTCGAATTGGGTTAACATCGGAAAAGGACCAGATTGACAGGAATGCCCCCATTTAAATGTGAGCTAGATCGTTGTGCTATCCCTTTATCAAGGCTTGTCAATGGGGTGGCATTGGAAGATGATCGGGCGCATCTGCTTTTAACCAAATACCTCCGTTTTTTCTTGGTAAAACTAGTAAGCAGAAAAGTAAGGTAATTCAAACTGTCTTCTTTTAGATGCGAAACAGCGTAAACACTGAACTGGGGCTCATTCATCTTTTCTTTAGACAAACTAGCCTAACCACCAGACTTCTGACCACCTCACGAACTAATCCTCACTTTTTGGCCCTTGGAAGCTCCCGAAAGGGCAGTATCCACCCCTCAACACTAACGTACAGGTTCTCTGAACCAGAAAAAGATTATCTTTAGGGTAAAATGGCGGCTGCGATCAAGAGCACTTTTTGAGGACACGGCAATTCGTGAGGGTTACTCCCGGCACCGAGCAGTTGAAAAGTGGACAACCCAAACATGCACCAGAGCGCATTCCAAACAGGCCCATGAGCTCACACATTGATTTCTCAGTAGTTTGACTCGGTGAACAGGCGTGGAACTTTCGGCCTGCCTATTTTGTGGCTACAATTTTCTCAGTACGCAAAAATGGTATTGTGAAGTCAACTGAACGCACCAACTTCGGCCGTTGGTAGTAGCCTTCGTCTCGGGTAGTCGTTCGCCGAAGTCGATAGGATTACATCACCTCTTCTCTCGAAGAATAGGCAACATTGTGTAGAGCAGGTCTGATCGAATTTCATTAAGGCGGTTGACCAATAGACGGTTGACAGGGTAGGCTTTTTAGACCCTCAGCTGGTGATGAGGAAACTAAAGAGTGTGGGCGTACGCGCCTTCTCGACATTCCCGAAGCGAACTCGCGCGAAGCACTCCTCTACTGGTCCATGTCTGCTTCTTTTGACATCTATGTGGGAAAAAACTAAGTCATCCGGAATCCTTCCGTCCATGACTCGGACGTTGATGTAAGTAATTGCTCAAAATTTCGGATGACAAGAACAACACAATTGCGTTAGGCGTGTCTCATTGCACTGTTAGGGCTGCCTCCGGTTACAACAAGGAAACTAATGAGTAACGTTTAAGTGACAAGTAAACGACCACTGGCATCAAAGTGCATGGGTATCACCTCTTCAAGGCTAGCGTCAAACTTCTTTGAATCAAATCAGTCAAGACTTTACACCGTCAGAGGAAAAGCCCACCGCTGCTACCGAATTGTATCATTCAGCTGACGGAATGGGATTAGTAATTTTTGCAAACTGAAGAAGCAGGTTTGTCTACTTCAAACTGCACATACTCCATCTATGGTCGCTCGGAAAGATAGGCTTAACTGTTTACCACGCTTCTCAAAAATATGCACACAACATCCACTGAACTGTCCTGCTTTCCGGACGGCACACAAGCGCTCCGCTTCGTGCTACATTCCAAGGCTAAACTGAGCCCTCGTAATTCACCCTGATAGCGACAGGCGACGCTTTCATGAAACATTAACTACTACCGACTTCGCGTGCTCAGTAGGGCGTGTGTATATAGGTGACTGGCAAGAGGAATGGGAGACAGGCTCGGCGGATCCTTTTTGATGTGGTCTCTGGTGAGATCCGAACTCCCCTGTCTGTGAAAACATAGTTTATTTTGCGAGGAGCAGGTCGTGTGTGGTACGCGCAGATGGCCTGTTAAGGTTTGTCAGACACTGCATCCAAGCCCAGCCCCCGTCGTCTTGACATTGTCTTGCCATCGGAGCCTGGTGGGCGAGAGAGGACGGCGTGCTGTAGGCTCCGTGCAAGTCTTCCCCACTGTCAACTAATTCATGGCGGACATTACTCGCGATTGTCGAACTGTAATCATACAATCGACACACAGCGTGGGCGCGTGAATCAACCTTTTGAGGGTCAAGCCCAGTGGTGAGCAGGCGTCGGACCACATGTCGCTTGCTTCTGATTGCAACATGGTTAACTACCGATGGCAAAGGATTCACAACTGACCATTTCAGTCTCTCCTGTTTCCATCTGTAATAATTTTTGGGTAGCCTTCTCAATCTTGGTTTTTTATGCAGCTCCGGAAGTGTTCACCCCTGCAGCTCTGGCAAGGGAGAAGGGACAGGCGACCTCCAGGACGGCGGATTCCTCCAGCGTTGTCGTCATTCGTGTGAGTTATGATCTCTGTTTGCTTCTTTACTCTATCGTTTACGCATAGTCAAACTATTTCAGGCGGGAGCTCGTGCCATTTATTCCGCAAGTGAGATGTGCATCCCTCGTGGTTTGCATTCTAATAATAGTTTTAGACTCTATCAAGACCCTACCTCCATTCTTTTCTGTTTTGTACTCTCTCTCTTTCCTCCTTTATCTTGCAGTCGACAGTAAAACCATAGTTTCTTGCTCGTAGTTGCAGTACTTTGCGTCACTTCTAATTTTTGTCTTTATTGACGCTTGAAAAAGAATGCTTCTTATTCAGTGCATGACATTTGATTCACGGGGCAGTTCGCCGAAATTTATTTGCTCCCAAGATGCCCGATTCCCGCGAAATTCGTAAAGTCAAAGGCGTGGATAATCGTCCGGACATTTCCGGGTTATTCGCCATCGTCAGTCGGCTACACCTCAATCGCAATCCCGGAAAACCTGAAGTATTAACCGGATCCAGTTAGTCGTTGAGTGCTAGCCTCGTCATGTGACTGAGTATTCTCCATCTCTGCTTATAAAGTATTGACCCTTGGCTAGACCGGCAGTGATGAGCCCGTCCACCAACTGGACCCGGATTAACCTGACGTTTCTTACCCGGGAACCTTAAGCCGGCGTGCCAGAGAGGCAGCTGCAGATATTTACCTTTGGGTCCAGACACCATGACAAACCCGTCTTCTAAACTTTGCTACCCAACCGTTGCTCGGCGAATCGGTGCTCAACCCAGTTTCTGGACTACGGGGGAGCCATGGTCCGCTTGCCGGGGACAGTGATGTCTGAGACGGAAAGTTCCCGCCGTCCAGCTGATAGCCCAGCTGTCGCAAGCGACGAGATACGCCACTACTCAATCAGGTTCACACTACCTTGGTTTGCATATAAATGTGTTTACAGTGGGCAGACTTTTGATGTATCTACCTCATCCCCTCTCCCCGCACTCTTTGATTTTCGATGATAAGACACATTTGGAGAAAACTGGAGGTAGGCGCAGACACCGGTACTGAAGAAGTTAAGCAACCTGCTTACGCGTGCCAGACAGGGCCTCGTTCTCAAATTCACATGGATCGGATTCATTGGGAGGATCTCTGATCTTACTCATGTGGGAGCGTCCTGATGGCTGCATTAAGAAGAGGCCTTTAAAGTGCAACTCTCAGTCTGGAAGAGGACCGCATTATCCCGTCACTCGGTAGTCCTCCAAATCGTGACTGTTAACACGCCTTGCTAGTTTGCGAACACTGGAGAGCGCTGGCTCGACCTCGCTCTTCCCTCCCCCTCCCCTGGCTCAGCGAAATTTCTAAGCCTTCCAGTCGAATGGCGACGAAGCTACGCACAATGGCTGACGTGGCGTCTGCCTTCGTCTAATCCCTGCACGCAAGGCAATAACTAGGGGGCTCGAGCTGACTCAGGGCAACTCCACAAACTCATGCCATGAGGTAGCGTAACCTCTGATTCGGGCCTTTGAAAAAACAGCGCAGGCCAACCATTACAGCAGCAACAACATCAATCATCTGAACGGCGCGTATTTACGTCAGACCATCTACGAGGCCTATGTTGTCTGGCGCGGCATACAGTCAGTGCTGACCTCGTGAAATGCTAGCTGAAATTCTGAACTGCGTTTTCGATTGGGGAGGAGTCCTTAAGTTGGGCTGCGATATTGACTGGCTTGCAGCAGAATCTCAAGATATTCCAGCCGCGCTAGGATGTTGACTTTCGAATGTACTTCTTCTCGGCCGCCCGCGAAAACCTCACTGGGTAAAGATGTCTGCTTAAGTAGTCGAAATTTTAGCACTGATTTTATGGAAAATGTGTAAAAAAAACATCCATTCATGTGCTCACTTGGTAGGAAAGCGCTCGAAGAACTATCTTTCGGTTTTAACAGCGTCTTTAATAATGAGATTTCGCAAAGCCTTGCTGTGTCAAATCAAATGGCGTCGTATCTATCTGTTTATTAATATCCCTTATACGATGTACAGTATAGTTTACATGCACTTCGGAATCTTATAAACTGTATAGGTAATCTTCTTAATGGCATAGAAGAGTGGAGGATTCTCCTGACACGAAAAGTATATAGCTTGTGGACTGGAAAACCTGAATGCTAGTGTTAAGTACGATAGAACTCAAAATTTTTCGGAAGTTGAATAATTTTTAAGGGACGCAGTGTGTGACCCAACTCTGCACATTATCTATTACTTCCTACTGATTCTTACGACGGTAGCGTTGTTTACTTTGGGTACACTGTCTACCTTTTTCAAGATAACACAAATTTCCGCTTAAATATCGCATTCAGCTTATTTGTCGGTCGATATACACGCCAATTTGGTATACTTTACCTTCGTTGGCCACCTTGGCGACTCCCTGTGTTCCACTGTCCTGCATCATTATGTCGTGCCGTTGGGTCAACGTTCCCGCTTTACTCTTATGGGGTTCGGCAACGTCATTTGTCCTTGGGTTTCTATTGGCTATTTCACTGCCTTGATCTCTGAACTTCGTGTCTTATTGTGCAGGCGCTATATTTAGCTTCCTTTGGGCTTTCGCTGTTAAGTTTCGCCGATATTCAATTTTCCGGGTCTCTTCAAGGTGACGCGTGGATCTTCTTGAACCTATTTACGAAAGTAGAACTCCGCCCCTTTCCATTGTTTTTTTCCCATCCATATAACCCCTACCTCCACCGGCCCCGTAATGCATGATGACCCATCCTCCGCATTCTGGATGGAGTCGCATATTGCGCCGTTGCCAAAACTTTTTAAACCTGAACAAACCCCTTCTTTGAGCATTAAATCTACAGAAACGGTTTTCTGCCAAGTTGAGTACAAGAAATAATATTTGTGTACCAGTTTTCTATAAAACATATTCAAATCTATAAATACGTGGAAAATCGAGGGAAAAAGCATACTGCCTAGGTAACCTATGCTTATCGAGCGTGGCATTTGCAGGCGACCCGAGTGAACTGTATTAAAAAACCGACATCTTGGACTGTCTGAAATGTCTTGGGTTTGTGCTGCACGATAATAAATGTTGTAATCTAACTTAAGTAATCCGTCCTGGTCGAAAATGCATTACAACAATTCGGTTGACATCTCATGATATCGGGTAGTGATTATATATGAAGGCTACTTCAACTAGTTCGTGGAACTGGCGTTCGTGAGGCAGGAGCGAAACATCTGTCACCCACTGCGTCCAACCACGTCCTTGCAGTCTCGACGCTGACAGAAGGTAAGAGTGGGAAGGGGGATTTAGGACGGATGCTATGCGAGTCTTGTTCAGTAATATCCAGTCGATACGCACGCAGACTACTAAAGTGCCTTAAACGTCTGGATTAGGTGGTTGCAAGTTGTGAGGAGTGGGAACCAGGCTTTATTCGATGACTTACGTGAATATTTCTGGTAGACAGGCGCTCACGGATCAGGTTTTGGGTCGTGATCATCCCGCTGTTGGTTAGGGATCAGTCTAGAACCTTCGCACGGCGACTAATAGTAAATGCAGATAAGGTACCATAGGTAATATTTCCGACCACAATCCACAGGCAATAGTTTCGTGGCTGAATGTTAGAATGTTGGACTAACTAATGTTTAAATACCACATAACGCGGTTTCGAGCCCCAGTTTCTCTCGTACTTACGGTTGGGTATGGCTGGCTGATGACGGCTAACAAGTCAGAAATGACCACCCTCGTCCTTTTCGGTACTGTCTTGAAAATATCCATGTCCGAGTGCGCAAAGTAGGGTTTGCTTTGTAATATTTCCGCCATTTGTCTGCCATAATCGGCGACGGCCATATTCATAGCTGCGATGGGGATTAATTCCTCGCCTGTTCTTGTCCAGCCGATGCGGTTACCATGGAGTAGCCACTGCTCCCATTACAGAGTCGTCGGCCTAGGCGACGCCGGGGTTAAATGATCGTAACTGCGGCTTGGCATCTGGCTCCATCGTCAACTCATCAGAGTGAAGGGTTGGCATGTGTCTGGCAGACGTAAGAAAGGGTAGAGATCCGTTACCTTGACCTGCTTATATTATTGGGACGTTTGCCCATTATTGACCGCGCTGCAGATGGGCTGAACCGAAACGCGGATCAGACTGACTCACGCCATGAGTTTGTCGATCTGCGTCGAGTCCGTGAAAGCCATAACTACTGTCGAACATATGTATTGTGGCTCGTCTTAGGCATGGACCTTCACATAGCGTCACCTACTGAGTCCACTCTCATTGATAGTTGCTTGACAGACTCGGACAGTCGGCTGGAGAATGGGGCGGGGAAACCCATCCTCATGATATGTCAGCACCTTCTTCACCATAGTAAATATAACCCGCTTGAATCTATCGAAACGGACTGCGACTCCGGTTTCAATGGCCCCTTAATGTGACCCTTAGGATACTGCCCTTTATGTGAACCCCGAGCCGCCTGGCGCAGGTGGACTGGTGTCCGGGTATGCCGTTACACGCGATACACATGAACTGTTCAGCTTTGTCAGTCATTGCTCCCCGACTCACCTCCGGTTGTCTGGACATTGTCTTTCCGCATGGCCTATGTGGATGAGGAAAGTAAGGGCGCTGCAGATGCTGTGAAAATCCGCTACCAGCATAAACTAACTCACCCTCCAGTCGCCGGTGCAGCGCCCATTATGTGGGGCACGGGATGGAGATCGTCGTTGTCAGCACTTGAACCACGGTGTAACGTGGTGGAAACCAGGAGAGAAACGGAGAGAAAGGCAGGTCAAGGCGATCCTGGCAATTCTCCTTCGCCATAATTCAATTAGCGTCCAAGTATCCACTGTCTCGCCCCCCCCCCTGATCCAGCTTGTAGTTGTCAGTGTTCAACACGATAGGAAAACTGCCGCGTTTTCGTCATCGTTGGTAACTGCCGTGACTCGTGTACAAGCGGCCTGTTCTGAGCGCAGTTAATTTTCACCCACACCTACTCCAACAGACATTTAGTTTGCATTGCATTCTCACCTCCAGCATTCACTCCCGAAATGCCTATCTCTTAATACTCAACATCTTGGCGACAGGGCGTGGACAGCCGACACTAACCCAGTCGTTTCCCAGCAGTCGAGGGATTTGAGGTTGCGATTTTGTGTCTATCTCCTCCGCCTTCTCTAGGCGGTATTCAAAAGCAGTCCAACTGTTGGCACTACTACGCAACCATATGCTCAAAAATAATGCATCATGTCGTCGATTTTTCATTCTCGACGAGTAATACTGCTCACTTTTTGTCCACTTACAGAAGGTTCATGTGCCGAAGATGGACGAAAACTTTGTTGACTCCTTCTTCGGAGTGAAGAAGTTGGATGAACTCATTGAGGAGGATGAGAACGAGGGGAATGTTAGCCAGACAGCTTCTTCAACACCCGCTCCACCGCCCAGTCTTGAGTATTCGGAGGCTCCCCTTGGGTAATGCAGGTTGTACTGATGATTCTAGCTTTCAAAACAGTCCATCACATGTTCCGCCAGAACCCCCCCCCCGCTGTAGTTCATCGTGAATTATTACCTTCTATGTTCACATGTGGACTATATGTTTACATCCCACGCTAACTAAAGAGTTCACCTAAAACTTGATGATGGGTAGGTTTTTTAACAAAACCTGTGGCACTCTTTTATTTCGACTGTTCATTTTGCAAGCTTGGTTTCTGAAGGAAGGAATTTTCGAACAACCCTGTGCTACCCCCGATAAGCCAGTCGTTCTGTGTGAATTCTACAACTTTCAAGCCGAGAATTGACAAAGTGAGTGAGCTCCTTCAGTTCGGCCACAGTCGGACTAATATAGGCGTTTTTATCGTGACAAAAATTACCTCAAAAGGAGTTTTGCCAGTAGAGGACCAAGATGCGCATTCGAGTCCTGTTCGATTAGTCGTATTTCATGGCTGAATCCAAGAAAACGGTGATGTATATCGTACGGCTAAACAGGAATTATAAAAAAACAAGAATGCCGGCCTCGGTCAGTTCGTGACTGATGTCTTTGAGACTGTGTTCATGTACCACGACGATCAAAGCATGAATCATAAGCTGATCGGGTCACATGACTGTCAACCAGGTGCGGCAAATCGGTCGTAAGGAATAAGTCAAGAAGCTGGACGGAGACTAATACGCAGTAAGCACCCACAACCAAGCTACTTTCTGTGCAACAACGTCAACAAACAGCAGGCTTGTTTTTGTGTTCAGGTAAGTTGCGAACTGCGGCAGAATATGTAAACAAGACCAGGGTGCGTGTCGGTGTGCTCGTATTTAGTTCTTGAGAGTCTGTATCCGTGCTGGCCTCCGAAATTGGTTGTTCGGTCGGGTGTTCGTGCTTACTTGATCCCTAGAATTGCGTCGATGGCCCTCTCAGTGCCAGCCCATTTTTGGCAATTATAATGATGCCATCCGACGTGGCAGCTTGCCGAGCGTGGGGGCCTGCAAGCTCAGGGGGACAGCAGCCCCCATGGAACGGCAGAATAGGGTCCCGTCCTCCTTAGAGCGTATGCCACTTGTTTTCCCCGCCCCCCTCCCCTCCCCCGTTAACGACGTCATCATGTTTGAAATTGTTCCATTGTTATTGTGTGCGCCCTTGCGCGGATTATTTCTATCCAGAGGCGGACTCTTCAAGCGGCCCCCAAAGCCTTCGAGTCGACCCCCCTCTCGGGCACAGAATCCCATTCGTCTCCTCCGCGAACGTGAGGACCTGCTGGACGAGTATGAGGAGGTACGGCATCAGACGCCAACACCTGACCCCTCCATCTCCGCCAGCGCCGTCGTTGCCAGGATGGAAGGCAAATTCACGCCTTGCCAGCGTCTTCTTACCAGTTCAGGATGTGGATTCACCTCTACACCCTCAAGTAAGTGTAATGTCGGGACGCAGACATTTTGCTTTAGTTACGATAACGCTGCTGATGAGAAGAATAGGAAGGACGACGAGAAGGATGGTGAGAACGATGGCTTCGCGCTGACATCAGGCAGTAAGTGTAGTTCTAGGACTAAAGGATTTGCGTTCTTGACTACGGGTTAGTAGCTATGACGGAGATGATAACGGAGGTGGTGAGGTTGCTGAAAATTTTGATGACGACGATCATGCCAGGAGGAATAAGAACGACTACGGAGACGATGAACGTGGCGACGGTGATGATGATGGTGACGACGATGATGGAGTTGATAGAGCTGCGGTGGTGGTGGTGTTGGTGGTGGTGGTGTTGGTGGTGTTGGTGGTGGTGGTGGTGGCGGCGGCGGTAATCACGTTGGTGTTGAGGATATTTTAGAAGTGTTAGAAAAACATTAATACCGAAAGGAAAATTTTGTATCTCCACAGTTTCCGGCTACTAAAATGGAAAGGGACCCTGTCTCGCTCCAGATTGTCACTTCGACCTTTAAATGTGGACAAATTCTTGTAAAATAGTTGTTTGCGTAATGAGTATGACCGATTCACAGTGGTTTGAGCTCGACTTATGTGGTCTCCCAACATTCCACTTGAACCTTTTCAGGGAACCACCAGTTTGCCCAACGACAGTTTAGGTCGTTGAATATTAAGAGGGGAAGCCGTCATGAGTGCATTTTACAGTTGGTCTTCCTATCCACGAATTCTCATTTCAGACCCCACTACGGAATCCGGCACTCTGACAAGGTCTCCCAACGCGATTGCACTTGCTAGAGCAGCTAGTTACGATGTAAGATATCTGAACTCGCCCGTAAGATTAAGCGACTTTTTGGCCTCCACTGCCCGCCGGGTGCAGAACTTTCGTGAGAGCGAAACTACTCTAATGATCACTGCCTACCTTCATTAGCCAGGTACGAAGATTTGCCTGTATCTTTCGAGAGTACGTGAATTTGATCGCTGCCAAATCACCTCCACCATGATTAAGTGTTGAGCTACTCCTCGGAGAGTAGGCCAAACAATAGGTGGACTGTATCGTCGGAAAAGCGGCTTATCTGGTCGACGTTTCGTATACAAATTTGAACCGAGCGACCGCAGATCGTCGGCCCGAGTCCAGTCAGCAGTAGGGCAGTTAATCACACGGGCAGACCGTGAATGAGCAACCCTCCATCAGAAGGGCTGTCAATAGATCATTCGTCCTACTTTCATCGTAAGGAATGAAGACGCCGCCATTGATGGTTCAAGCACAGCCTCCTAACCCTTGGGTATGCGATTGTGTAACAACTCCTCTAGTGACTCCCTTTGTGCCTTGACGCGGTCACTGTAGTGGCCTTACCTTAGTCAAAGCAATCTCCAACTGCAGTGCAGAAGAAGGCGGAGAATGGCTGTAAGAGTGCCTGGTTTGGATGTTAGAAGCGACAATTTACCCCCTTCTGTGCATGCTCCGCAGCCGAGGATGCGCATGAGTTAGTGGTTGTCATGTGTGCGGGAGAACATGTGTCAGCATAATCAATGCATCCATTAGCTGAGCTTACTGAATTGCTGTTACTTGTGACCAGTCCCCGTGTCTTATTCATTCTAGAGCGGTGATTGTTTAGGCCTTGCCATTTGATGTGGCCGCCAGCTAGAGACCAGAGTCTGAGGTGTGATCATACCTACGGCCCCACATCGAAACTACAATAAGGGTGTTGACGGGGGGACAAACGATGAACCGGCTGGGGTGGTTTGCATGTCTCGATTGTGAAAGGAGTTCCTACCTGTTGTTCAAACCGATTACACCGCCAGACGCCGTAGCCTGTGCAGAAGTTCAGGTGAAACAGTTGAAGGAGAGTTAATTGCCATGTTCTTGTTAACGTTTGCCGCCGAGTTGTCATGGACAGAAACGCTCCCGACGCTGTGTATATAAGTGGTTGTCAATTAGTACTTTCACGGTAGTGCAATCGTCAAAGCCGAACGCTTGAAGTTTAACTGATTGAGAAGCAGAAAGACACGTTGCATGTCTAAAGACCTACCGTAATTGATGGTTTTATGGCTGGGAAAAGTAGGAGGTGCGCCCTTCGATACTGGCACAAAAAACCAGGGTTAGAGTCATTGCTCTGCCGTACATCAAAATTCACGACAAGACGTTGGCAATCACGTTCCCTTTATCAATGGTACTATAAGTTACCCAAATAAACCAAAAAATAGAAGTGATATGGGGAATTTTATGACGATGTGGACAGGTTTTTGCTTGTTCCATTCACGTCAGGGTTAATATAGATGGACAATACACTGGAACTGTCTGCTAAGTTGTGTGAAGTAGCAAAAGACAGGGGACAGAAGTCGGAAATTTATTTAACAGAATTGGGCGAGTCGTAGTTGACAAGAAGATTGAGGGTGTCAACCAACTGTGCGCGTCGGTAAACTCGTACGTTGAGGGAGTGCACGCTAGACCCTTTAGAATTTTTTATTACGAGCTCAAGAGAACGTCTACCAGTGTTGGTTCATCGATTTATCGAGTGGTTTAACTAACTGAATGGGCATAGCTTGTGCGTAATTAACATGATAAACTGCGTCCGTATGTACAAAGAGTGCCAGTTTAGGTCTCCGTTTACTTTAGTTATCAGGTGGAATACGAAACCGAAAATTCGAGTTTATAAACCCGTTGTTCCAGCAATCGTATCGGTCTCGCCTCAGCTCTAGCCTGAAACATCCTTTCGCATGGACCGACAATGTAGACTCTTAAGGCTAAATCCGTAAACTGTTGCCGCGGTGACTAGTTCGACTCCCGACCTCCACACTTCCCCCTCCGACGCTTTACCGATTAAATTGTGACAGCAAAACCCGATGACTGCACTAATTTAGTAATAAGTCAATATATGTGGAGTGAAAGGCGACTAGCCTTGAGAACTGTCCTCAAGTTCCACCGTATCAGAAATATCTATTCTAAAACGGAGATTCAAGATAGAGTTATGAATGACGTAGTTCTGCCCTTAAACCGGAGCCCAAAAATTGAGCACACTACATCATGTCTGTTTTTCGTCTTATTGTCGTTGCACCCTCCCGCTTTTAAAATTACACCCCTCAACTTAGTTCCAACTGCGCGCACGTAGGTCACCGTGAAGACTATTCTCAAAGGCGCGGATGAAGTAACTTTTTGCCAAACCTGGACTGTAATTCGAGCCGTCAGTCGCTGAGACCTCGCCTGAACGCATGTATGTGAACACAAGTCGTCAAGTTTCTGCTTGTGGGATTCTGTCACACACGCTCACGCACTTTTGCAAGTTTGTCGCAGTTGGATGCCTCTCCTGACATATGTCGGTACGAATTTCTCTCTCCTGCGCAGACTCCTCTTTATCAAGAGGTACTACCGGGACGGTTGACATGACTGTTTCCGGCTTGTGTACTATCGTCGACCGGCTAGACTCCAATCATAGGCCGGGAAGCTCTGAGGTTGTTAAGTGATACATAACCCCCCTCGACGCCACCGACCATCGCCAAGGCCAACCAGTGCGCGCAGATCGCGACTCTCTTGTCGCCCAAGACCGGGATATGTCGTGGCTCTCCGGCAGTTGTTACGTTAATTTTGAACCCAGGCCCAAGTGCTCATTTAGATAGACTCCCTTAACTGAGTCATAGGCTCAGGTTCCAGCAGCAGCGGTCGATAATGCGCAAGGACACTCGGATAAGTGCTGTCTATTCAGTGATAAATAATTCCGAAATTAAAGGTGTGCTGCGTTCTTTCTCTTTTCATATGCATTTGCGCCGTTTTATCCGGACTGTTCCGAAGAGGTGGGCAAAGTCAAACCAGGAGGGATTTTGGTCTCCATCTTTACATGGTCAAGGTCCTAGTTTCATTACTGACATGTAATTGATTGGTCACTGCTCCCTATTTATAGCCCACGTCGACGAGAACGCACACTTGAGTGAGACGGCCTTAGCTGGCCTGGCGAGTTTCGAAGATTTCTCTTCAAAGAAAAGCACCTTACGCCAGGTGTCTGAGGCGCCCGAGGCTCCCCTAACAACCTTTCAGAGAACCCTGATCCCCCACAAGGACAAGATGCTCATTCACGTGAAGGGTAAGTCAGCATTCTCCTCCGCGCACGCCACAGTGCATCCATTGGCGACTGGCTTTCCTCTATCTCTTGCATTAATTTGGAACTTGTTAAACGTAACACCCTGTTAAATTTGTATTTTCTTCTCCACCCCAAAGGTCGTCGTCAGGTTCAGGTCCGGTTGGTGCAACCGGTTGCGGCCTCTGTGAACTCTGGCGACTGTTTCCTCCTCCTGTCCGAAACGGACCTCTTCGCGTGGATCGGTCGCTTTGCAAACGTCGTGGAGGTGAACAAAATTCGCGACCTGGCAGCCTGGATTGCTAAAACTCGCGACCTCGGATTTCGGGGTTCCCGCCTGCACAACACTCCCGAAGGCTACACGGCGATTGAGGAGAGCAGGACCACCGGCCAGGTGGTAGAGGCATTTTGGCGGGCTCTTGGCGCTGCTGACGACACCAGACCAAATGGTACGGCTGTTTCCTCTTATTATCCTTCATTTTCTCTAGCCCTTATCTGTACTCCCTTGCTTCGCACTCCACGTCAAAATTTCCCCCTATTTGCGTCACGCTTCCTCCCCCAGCGCCTCTTTTCATTCGAATCCCCTCCCCGACCTGCTTTATATTCACAGTGTGCTTAGTCGAGTGCCACTTTTTTCTCCAAGTTTCCAGTTATTTCTACTACCATGTGGTATGACATACTTCCAATTTACGTCAGCAAAGCGCATGAGGATTCCAGGATTCGGCGTTAAAAACGAATGACCTGTCACCTGTCGTTGTGTTTCCAACTCCCCCTCCCTCCTGCTCCTCCTAAATTGGGTCGAGGAGGGATGAGCTGAACGACTCCCTTCTGAACCAGATGCATGTGATTTTGACGACAGATGGGAGAACAGTGACAGCAATTGCTTCCCGTTTATTCCCAGAAACCTCTCCGGGTTCAACTCGAGAAAGAACCATTATTTGAGCTTGGAAAGAGGTCTCCCTTGTCAGTACTACCATATCCCTTTGCTAGAACACAGATTGCCCGGTTTACTGTTTTGTTAACATTTTCAGCTACCAGGTTGGTGCATAACAAATTTCGGTTCTTGGATGTATACTTTAAGATTGTACAGCTCGACCGGGATGAACTGTTGACATAAACAAGAGTCGTTAGAATCTGCGCACTTTGTCCGATGGAAGAAAAGTTCATATATTCTGCCACGACAGAATTTCTGAATTCTAGACTCCATGAGTTCTTTAAAGGTGTTTTCAGCTGCTGCTTGAATGTGGAAAATTCTTTCTAGTCAGTTTTTGAGCTGCTTGAAAAAACAATAGTCTGTTGTTGGGATTAGGCTAAATGATCGTCATTCCGCAACTCAATTTTCCAAACTACTGGAATTTTTTTTATGATAGAGTATTGTCATGGGGTAAAAATAGCGCCTCCGATTGATCAACTTTGGGTTTCTATCGGACATCATCTGAACATTTCATCGACTTAATGGTAGTACTCCTCTGCAGTGCTGATGTCATCTGAAGTCAGGAATTTGTGGCTGACGGTATAAAGTTCATCATGCTCCTTTTTGGCTTAACATCGGTTAGGGGAGATGTTTTACTACTTCGCTGCCACAGAACAACAGTGTCAGTCCCTGTCTGCAGGGTAGAACTAACTTATGTGGCCTCTTAAACAGGACATGGAAAAAGGAACGCCCGCCCAACTAGTAGAGGTGGACCTTTTTATAATTCTGAAAAGGTTAAACTTTTCTCGGGTCCTAACCCCAACAATAGCCCTAGTATAAAACTGAACCGTTGCCCTTATCTTGACCCCAACCCTACCCCAAACCTTAACTTGGCAGTTAACACTAACCTCCGCCATAAACCTAAACTTGACCCTGGCTTACCTTTAAATCTGCCTTAAACCTAGTCCTTGACCTGACTCTAACCGTTATTGCACTGGAAGTTGACTCAAAACCACCCATATCGCAGTCGGTCCGTGTTCTCATGTCCTGTTTACAGGGCTACATAAGCCAGTCCTAGTGTCTGCTATGCAAAACCCACTTTTAGCCACATATTGCAGTCCCATCATAAGCTGGTCGTTTTCACTGTGCAAAAAGGTAGAGGACACACAGTGTGCTTACGAATTTATCTGTTTTCAGTCAGTTAATGTGAAATTCGCTTGTCGAGGTATTCTACCTTTCGGGTGCAATCCATTTGACATGTGTTAAGTGCTCAGCGTTCAGAGCTTTGGCCGCTGCAGCTAGAATGCCTAGAGGAAAAAAGAAAACCGCGGTACTAGGCGCTCCATCTCACCCACATTATCTCTGTCTTTCAGCATTTTCGCTGCAATTTTTTGCCTCATGCTGCATTTGTCGCATCCACAGATCTTTCTGTCAGTATTGTTCTCTAAAATCATCGTGGACATTTTGTAACTAGGCCTTCTACTGCTTATTTCAGCTTCCTATTCATCCCTACGGGAAAAATAGTCCAGTTTTTTAAAGACCTCGTCGCTGTACGCAACTTCCCCCTTACGCCGTAAACTATTTTCAGCCTGTGGACCGTCAGATGAGGATGTCATCTACGAGACCGTAATGCAACACACCACCCGTGTGTATGAAGTTCTGGAGGACCGACTGGAACCCGTGTCAGAGGCCTGGGGTGTCCCCTTGCGGGTCTCACTCCTGAACTCGAAAAAGGTACCTCTTTACGTCCAGTGAATTTTAGTGACCCTTCCGACTTTGGGTGCCAGGCTTGTTGGGGTAGCAGTCCAGTTTTTCCTCAGCCTGCGATCGCTTCCGCTTGACTGCCAGCTTGTCCCGACAGAGATGCCACACCGTCCATGGGCTGTTGGCAATCGCGGGGATAGAGGTTTGCAGTAGATGGAATGTTAACCGAAATTCTAAAGTCTGTTTTCAGTAAGAAAGAATTATTTAAGTCGGGTTGTAATGATGATTATAGTGCTGCATAATCTAAAGATGTTTCAGCTAGGCCAGAATGCTGGCTTTTGAATACGTGCCCTTTCAGCCGTGAAAAATGACGGCTTTACTGGCAAGATCTTATGTACTGATTTTCACTACTCTTATAAATTGAAACATATTTTATAAAAAAATGCCGGAAATACCCTTTCTCATATTTATTTGATAGCCAATCACGTCTTCGTCAAGTGTATACTCGAAGAAACGGTACCTTTCGGGTTTAAAAAATTTTTAAATCCTCAAATAATTTGGAACCCAGTCTGCCGTTGCATTTATTTTTACGGTTTTCAGTCTACACGCTGTATTCTTTTCCTCTATGCCACTAAGAAAACACCATACCAGGTCCATAAAATTTTGCACTGGACTTGAACTATGTTGTATACATCATAAAGTGCATTAATAAACTAACAGATACGATGTTATTTGCATGCAAAGCTGAGGGTCTTCAACTATCCCATAATTACAGCATTTTGAACCGAAAGCTACATTTCTTCGAAGAGAAAATTTGAAGAAGACGTAGTTTGTACAAAATAACTCCATGAAAGGATGGTTTTGTGCATATGTTCCGGAGAATACAATTTGGTTTACAATGGCATAGAACATTAAATAAAAATAGGCATTTAGGGAACGAAGTATCGGCAGGCGACTCTAAAGACATGTATTTCAGAGCCGGGATCCTGGTGTGGCTGAAATGTCTTGAAATTATGCGGCAGTATATTCGGTATTACAGCCGCACCGCAGTAATCCTTTCTAATCGGACTCACACTTCAGAATTTCGGTTAACATTTCACCAAATACGCCACTTACTGTACACACGCACACAAGAGCTCTAATTTACGAGAAACCGTTGCTTCGTATGTGAGCCAATATGCACTTTTTTGAAAGGGAGGGGGGGAGAGTTGGACGAATTTGCCTTCGGAATGACTCACGACGCACCGAACCAAGTTGATCGGCCTGGTCGGCGCCAGTGCCGGGTCTTCTATTTCCTTAAATTGTTCGTGTCTCAACTATGAACCTGGAAGTTCTGTGCTCTCAGCCGGATCCAGTTACTTGAAAATGAGCTGAAGTTCAGTGCTCCAACATCTTTGATCCAAAAAGTCACATATGGTGACTCAGGGTATGGTGGCCCAGGATAAACACGCAGAAAATCTTGCTCACATACCCAAAAAAACGAAACACACTCTGGTTAGGGTGAGAGTGTTTTACCTAAGTATTCATTTTCGTTCGGTCACAAGAGTATAGGGAGTGATTATACTTTTTAAGGTGGGTGATTAAACGAATTCTCAAGCGCTTAATTATTTATCCGCCCTTGGGGACAAACTATACGAGATAAAGCGATATTTCCTCACAGAAGCTATATAATATTAGTTTTAAAACTTCTCTTCCAAACGTGTAAGCATATGTTACTAAAATAGTGCCACAGTCCCTACCATATGCGCAGTTTGCGGCTTTTTAACTAGAGTTCTACTACATACGCAGCACTATGAAAGCTTTGTGCCCCACATGTTTGCACTTTGATCCACCAAGAGGTAAAAGCTATTTTTCACCTAACCTCATTCGTCAGGCGTCATAGATTTGGATCTAAGTACGATACTGTCTGACTACTTTGTTTGTCGTGGTTTTGTGGCGTTTGATACGTAATCCCCACTCCGTTGTGTGGAGCGATATTCTCCCTCTGCTGTTAAATGTACACCGAAGCAAGACTTTGATGGGAACAACTACTTACGGCCAGATCTCAATAGCGAGGACAGTTTACGCTATAAATAGCTCATTCAGTCTTCTGCGTTGTAAGCTACGGCCAAGAAAACAACTGAAAGTCCACTGGACTGCCTGCGCAGTTAAAGAAAAATCGACAATTATGGATATGAAGACGTCTCCTTGGAGTTCTTACATTTTACTGTGCTGAAACAATGGGAATACGGACCTGTATCCTGTGTCCTTCTCGGCTAACAGAGTGCCTAAGATACCTGTTTCCTGTCTATTGAACGAGACCTTAAATCGTAGATCCTGTCAGCTTCTCCCAAAGCAGGAATTGGAGAAGCGTCCTCAAACATACCGCTTACTTAAGGTGTCTACCTAGGCAATCTTTTCATCCCTGTCGAGTCCATTATTTAAATACAATTTCCGACATACTCCGTTTTTTGCAAAATCCGTGCAATTTTGCCCTTTTTGTGTTTACAGGCGTTCGTCTTCGATTTTGGATCGGAAATGTACCTCTGGACCGGAAATCAAATTTCCCCAAGCATCCGGGCGGCGGGAATTGAACTCCTCCAGCAGGCGTACGCCGAACCCTATGATTACTCCTGCACCAAGACAAATCCCCTCAACCCCATGGGAGGTAGGCTGGCAATTACCGTTCTATTTTAACTCTTTTTCCCTGTTTTTTGACAGTACTAACCCGTTATCACCAGTTGAGACACTCCGACTATCTAGCAAGACATCACCGTCATTGCTACAAGGGTGAACTCAACTCCAGGCTGTGCCCCTTGCAATTGCACATTTGAAGTACGCGTTGGTCAGATCGATAACTTGCAGTGCCATCGTACTGAGACCGGCAGCCCCCTCAGTGTCTGCAGCCCCTCCATGCACTCCTCGTTTTCGTCCCTCCTGTCCACACTGCCCCAGGACATTCGGCTATCGTATGAACCTGTTCGGCCAAATATGCCTCCACGAAGGTCCTAGGTAAAAAAACCGCAGCCCGGACGATATCACAACACCTCGTCATACTTACTCACGCACATATGCCAAGACTACTTACGAACTTACTCCATAACAAACGCATATATGTCACCCCCGTGACACATTATTTCTCTCCCGCAGTAAGCATGCAATCTGGTTTGTCGCCGCTGATATGACGGGCAAAACGTCGCCCGCCAGAGCATGTGCATCTCACTTAGGTAGAGGCATATTCTTTTCCGCGACCTAGCGCATAAAGTGGGGACCAGGTCGCGTGGGAAGCGCAAACGGGTCGTTTAGTTTTGACAGCCTGGGCTCATAACCAGTTGCCTGATAGGTGCCTGAGCGAAGGGGAGAGTAAGGTCAACACTGGAAAATCCATCTTCACGGCAAATAAGTACATTCCTCACCACAACACATTTGATGCACTTGAATCAACCATGACGCGCTAAGAGTCCTGGCTCGGAAGATTATCAGCTGAGAGGATAACTCGGTCCTCATGGAAGTATATTGGAGGGACTGGAGAAATGAGTATCCGACTGTAATGTCTCCTTATCAGCATGGTTTTTGTGGTATTGTCATTCAAACGAGATCTGTGTCGTCCCTACAGAGGCCTGGTCGACGTAGGAGGAATCATACCATGTGTGGCATGCGTAGACGGATTGTGTGCTTCGTCAGTCGCTGCATCTGCTTCTCCCTCCTCCGGTCATCTATGGACTATCTTGCCATTGGGGGAATGGGGGGTGAAGGGAGTGAGGGAATGTGGTGGGTGACGTGCACTCTGTCCCACTAGAAACAAATAAGCACGCAAGCCACTGTTGCTACGCCCACTCCATGAGGCAAAGGGGTGAGCATCGTTGACTGCGACGGCCGAGCTGGCACTACTTCACAGCTGGCCGCTCCTCACTCCACGACCGCCTGTGATTCGGAGTTTCGAGGCCAAATGGGACACACCCATTCCCTCCCTAAACTGCGCCCCCTCGGTGAACGCTGTCCTCACGTGAATTCAAAGAGGTTCACCTGCGACCAATGGAGTGCACGACCGTTGCCAAACCGGTGGAACATTAAACTCACCAAGCAGCTCGGCTCATCTTCGAACCCCGAGACTTTCCAATTCGTGTATAGTTTTTAGTTGGCTGTCAGTACTAAATAGATGCGAAATGGTCTTTTCAGCTTTTCATGTCCCTTTTTGACGGTACTTACTGCTTCCAAGCTAGCTTTGTAACTGCGAGCTCTCCCCTTTGAACTCATTTAACAGGGTCATCTGTGTACTTTTGCCCGTTGTTAAGCCAGCCTTTTTTGTCCCTTTTAAAACCCACGAGAGCAGCCCTGGATAAAATGCCCCCGTCCACTGGTTAACATTTTCAAACAGGCTAAACTAACACGTATGCACCAACGTCACTGTCCATTTGCGCAGCACGCCCCTCCTTAGTGGGTGCCTTGTTCAATGACGTCTGTTGGATTGCATTTTTTCCAATAAAAGCACCACGTGCACATTCAAAGGTTTGCATAGTGCCTGGGCATGTCTGACCGTCAGGCGATCGCAGACAAGGACTGGTACGAACCCTTCACGATCGCTGTGATCTCCTGTTATCAGAAAATTGCTCGAGAGTCAGGCTACTGACATGTACGAAAGTAAACTAAATAGGCCTATTGAATATAAAGTACGTCCTTGATTCAGGCAGTCCATGTCCGTTGGGCGGTTTAGTAAACAGAAAATCACTTGCCTATGAGCAATAATTTCGAAAGAGAAAGTCTGCTGAAAGAGTGGAGAAGATGAATGCTCTTTAGTGCATTTGCGCAAATGTCTAACAATGAGGCATTGCATGACTTTTATTCAAGAGGCAGATTATGAAATCAGTACATGTGGATGCTGAAGGGTGTTTGTGTTCGCTTCGACTTTCCTCAGACAGTTTGCGAAGTGAAGTGTTGTTCGGCTACCTTGAATTTTCTTACACCTCCGTAACGCACTCTGTTCTGATCCACAATGAAGGCACTGCACCTTAATTTTGCAACCCCAAACGCCCTCCTCGCAGTCCACTGAATCAAGTCAATTGCTTACTTCCACAGGTTGTTATGGAAGTTGTACTCGCCGCAAAAGCGGATTTCAAGGAGAGTTTCTGACAGTGTTCAAATCTCACCTTATAGGTTTTGATGACAGCGGGCTTTTCATAACATTCAACAGCAATTGGCTTATGATGTTACTCATAGTTCGTCTTCCTATTAACGGTTGGTTTGCTAAATTCTTTCAACCACTTTTACTAACTTGTTTGCATTCGTCAATATTGATTGTTTGGAAATAAAATATTCGCAAGTGAGATTTGGAGTGTGGGGAAACCTCATCCAGATCAGTCGGCAGGCGCGAGAACTCTAATTTAATCATTCGATGTTAGAGGACTAATTGGCGAGCATACGTTAGCCATCGATAAATTCTCCCCAGGTCCGTACACTTATATGCTAACGGAGTCAATTAAAACATATGCGCAATTGGAGAAATCGAGTTATGTTCATCTTTTCACACAAGTCGCGCATGTGGAATATGCGAGAATAATTGGAGGCACTCAACATCATTCTGGTTGGGTAGAGATTACCAGTATGGGAAAGAGGGTTGGAAAGCGCACGGAAACTGCATGCAATTAGCTAGTCAACTGGTGAATGCAGGCTCCACACGAAGTTCTGCGCGAATGATACCGACTGGCGTAAGGTGATCGCGATCGTTTCCGCTGTTATTGATAGACGCTGTACCAGTTGTTGTGGGTAGTTCACTGGGACCCTAAAATCACTCCGAAGGTTTCGTTTGGGTCGACGCGATGCCCGAAATTAACCACGTGCGCAAGGAAGACGTCCCTAACGCTCCTAATTTAGCCCTTTATCGGCCATGCCTGGAGGTGTTTATGCATCCTTTTGGATACTCGTGCGACCAATAAAACGTGCCATACAGAAGCAGGTAAACCTGTTTTCGATGAACGTACTGAGAGATCCGAACCTACCTTGGAGGCGCGTGGAGACGGCGTTCATCCACCTGGCCTGATTTTAGAATAGGATTCGGTGTTGTGTGTTAGCCTGGTGCTCCAGGCCTCGCCGAGAGTAATTTAACAAGGATCAGTTAGCAATAGGGCAGGTTTCGTGGCAGAAACTGCTAATTGAGAAGGTAAGAGGCGACATTTGAGCCCGAGGAAATCCCCCACCATGTTGCCTTGATTATCCGCGATCGCGGCCGACCGGTCATGAGCCCTGGTTCAAGTGGTAGGACAGTAAGTTAAATTAATAATCAAATCGGGACTCATTTTGCCTGGGTTTGGATCGAAAATAGGCCTGAGATCGCCACTCTAGCCTGTGTTGTCTGCGTTTGTAAAATTCCCCCTGCCTGAGACCCCTGATGGTCGCCTCAAGGGCCTTCGTAGGTGCGCTGATACGAGTTTCCGCATTACGAGGCATTTCTTCCCGCCTCTTTCGCTCGTTAAACCCAGCGGCTTTCTTCATAGGTCCCATTCACATTACCATCCCAACAACCGTCTTTGAAGATGTGCTGGTCATTTCGCCTTTTCGTGTGAGCATGCCTGCCGCTCATTTTTCCGTATGAGTGGCTACTGTCCCTGAGCCTGTTTTCTCAGTCAGCTGCTAATGCACTCAAAGGTACATGCACTCTGCCCGAACTAGAGAACTAAGGCAAATGCCACAGCGACAGTGAACAGCAGCCGACAGAAGATAAACTTGCGTCCGACGTCCGTACTTCCTTCTTCTCCCTCGTGGGGTTATACGTACATCATAACGGAGATTCAGGTTGTAACAGGTGTTTCTTAATGCAGTAGGAACTTTCGTCTATGCTATAACCAAGTGGATGATGTTAGATTCGCGGTTGCTAAGCACCCAGCATGCCTGTGACAAACGGAGGTAGAAAACATATGCCTCGCCAGTACCGTAGCCGATCCTATTTCAGTTTGTTCATGAGTGCTGGATTGAGAATCTATTGTTATTTTGAAGCAGGCAGATCTTCCCAGCGAAGACAGTCTCCAAAAACCATAATACTGTACAAAATAAAATTGTCAATTCTATTTTCGTATGTATGAGCGGCTGTCGCGAGTGACTCGTCTGCGAGGACGTTTTGGTGTGGTCAGTAGACGGTGTCGTCGGCTAGGAAAACAACTCATTTTCAGATGGACAGGCACCATTTTCCTGCTTTAAAACAAAGGAATATCCACGTCGGTGTGGAGAGAGAAGTCATGGAGGCCCACTTTCAGAAGCGTCACCTTCATCTGCCTCTGCCTTCCATGACGGGCTCAGATGTTAGTTCGGAACATCAAACAAGTAAAATGTTTGTTTCAGCGATCACATCTTCTCAGTTTGGTTTGGTCTTGCCATTGATGAGAAAGAGAAAAGCAAGTTAAGCCGATCGTTTGCGACTCGCGCGTGACTTTTTATGGCGCTTTGCAAGTCGTGGCTCGGAGGGGTTCCAAAAAGCAGGCTAACTCGGTCTTACGATAACTCACACCTATGTAACAGTCGAATTATTGAGGTAGGGCTCCCCCCTGAAGTGAAGGATTGGGAAGTGTTTGCATACAAGAGACCGTGATGCGTCCCTGCCCATCATCAGTTTTCTTGATCCCCTTTGTCACTGGGACTTGATGGGAGCGACAGAAGAGAGTGAGACCAACGTTTCGCCAGCCCCACTCACCGTAAGGAAATCCTCGCGAAAACCACTTCTGTTCCCCGAGGTATTACCAGTCCTGATTGACTTCGCTGACAGAGCGGTGATACTTACATTTCATCACTTAACTATTTAAGGTCCCTCCTGTGATGCTGTTTCTGAAACCAGTCTCTATGAACCTCCGAGAATACTGACAGCACACTATCTGACCAACGCTGGTTCTTTAACGGCGTCTGAGCGATTAACGGTGATTAACGTCCTCATTAACTTGTGTCTTGCTGACTGCACGGCCTCCCTTGGTTTATCGACAACAGTTGCTGCCACTACTGAACAAGAGAACTTATAGGAAGGTCGTTTGGTAGCCGAGCCTTTCTACAGATTAGTTGAACATCTCCTTTGAACAATGTTAGGGAATTTATGCATTGGCTGCTAGAAGCAGACCGCTTCCGGACACCATGAACCTTGGGACTAAGAGCGTCGTTCATTTACATTCACTGGTGGAGCCTGTGTGTACTCATCGTTCTACGGAGTTGCCCTCTTAGTAGCCTCTCTTTCTGCTTAGCATTTCACATATCAGATCGCATTTTCTGGTGGCGAAGATGGCTGGAATCTGCATTTTCTTGAACAGCGGGTGATTTATAAGTCCGCTACTGTATGCGCTTCATCGGTCCTGTCACTTCCTGCCCAGCGCAAATTACTTACCGGCCTCACTCTCCCGTTCTGCCTTGTCTCTCTGCAGCCCTAAACTGTCTAGCCTCCGGACCTGCTCGACCTGACTGGACGTTGGTGGGCAAGCTGACAGAACGTGGCGAGACGGTGCTCTTCCGTGAGAAGTTCATCGACTGGCCCGATGGTTCCCGATTCCCCATGGCCGGCAAGACTGGACGTCAAAAATCCTCGGAGGTTTGTTGGTCACTACCTCCTCCTTTATTTTTTCCCTTGTGATTCATCTCCCGAGCCTCTTCGCGATGAACCGAATTTTGTGATTACTGTATGACCGCTACCGAAGGCGCGCGCTTTCGTAAAGTTAGTCCACAGGTCTAAACAGCTGCTATAATCGGTCTGAAGGGTTGCTAGGGGCTACACCGTCCCTCCCTCCTTCGAGCGACAATTCAACCGTCTGAAGTACGTGAGCCTTGCAGTCATCTGTTGGATTCTATGTGAATTACTTACGAAATCCTACTTGGGCAGTCAGCTTACTGTATCAGATTTGGTGGATTCCAGACGGTGCATTAGGTTGTGCGGGTAACTGCAGGATAAAGGCAGGTGCAGTGACTTGGGCGTTATTTCGTTTATAATGATAGTAGAGTTGTGCTGCATCCACCACACTTTCTCGCCTTCCCCCACCTGGGCCTGGTGTCATGACAGAGTCGAGAAGACCGAAGGTGGGAGACGATGCGGCTGGCCGAATTTTGCACAAGAAAATGAGGGTCGGCTTGGATCCCAACAGGCTCGGCGTGAGCCTGCACCTTGGCGCACCGACACAGTCTCGCTGTTGGCCTTTGTTATTCGTGCGCATTCCCCGTGAAGCTTGCCGGACCCTGATCTAGCCCCCGTGCTGGTCCAGCCCATCTACCGCGTGGCCCGTTCTGAGGGGCATATTCCTTCGAACAGGCTATCTGCAAGCACAGCCGACCTTTCCTCTCCCGGCTCTTTATATTACACACGTAACCCAGCAGCTGGTGCTCTACAGTATCCTCCTGATGTCCCCGGTTTCAACAGGGGACATTACAGCATTGTCTTTCCCGATCGACGCCTGTTGCAGCTCACTGACAGTGATAACTGTTCAACGTGCTGTAGAACGTGGCCAGCCACAAACGCGTTGACAGGTAACTAATCAGCACTCTACCCGACTTACCGACTAGGCTGCTGCTCAGGCGTTATGGCAGTAGGCCAAAGTCCTTTAAGGATGTGACTTACTCGTCCAGAAGCCAGTTGCGTATGATTTCCAGTGAATCTCAAATGATAACGGTTGAGTCACTGTTAACTGGCCCATTATTTCCACGAGAGGCAGAAGCGGCTGTCTCGCCTTCCGAATTAAAATGGGCTCAACATATTGGGCTGAACGATCTGCTGTCAGGGTTTTACATCAGTATCGATTGTCTGGGTGGGCTCTTAATAGCCATACACTAGTTAATGAAGGAAGTAGAGTCTCTGAAGAACTGCCCGCGACCGTCAACCCTAATCCACTGTTCTGGCAGGTCCCCACTAAGCCTAGTTCACCCACAGATCTGGTCTGTCGTCTCCTATACATGTACTATTTCTTTGACTTAAGTCTTTCAGTAGTTATAAAGACGATGTTGCTGCCTGCAGAATGTTTTTCGGCGGAAAATTCGTCAGTGACGTTGTAGTTTTCACTAGTACTTGTTATTGTACGTCGATCATTATTAGTAGTTTTCCTGCTCCCGCAAAGAAACTTTTGCAATGAGTTTCAAGTTGCCACGTGAGCATCAGAACCCTCGCCCGACCCTTTTCCGATCCTTTTGCTGCCGATTGATTAACTTCCTGACTACTGCAAGGCCTCATCCTTCGCATAAATCAGCCGACTTAGATAAATGTGACTCTAAACCCACGATAGCGTCCCTCTTCTCACAGATACGACTCTAGAACCGCGAACTATCTGGATGGAAGTTTCGACGAAGCTGCCAATCCACCCCAGTGAGACAGTAGTTTTATGCACTTGCTCCCTTTCATAATCAGCTGGTAGAGCCCTTTGAAGTACTTAAACAGTGTCTGCAGCCGTTGTACGTGACTCCTCTCCGTATGAATCTGAGACAGCCAGAACAAGACTGTTCAATAATCTCCAACAACGACACTCATGGCGTGCCGCACGGAGTGAGCGCAGCACCTGGGACCTGCGCGCGAAATAGTTTTTAGTGAGAGAAACTTTTGCTGCATATGACGCAAGCTCTCTCTCTCCCCTTTTCCATATACCAGCTGACTGCCCGGCCTGCTAACTAACAGGGCGCAGTGGCAGACACGGTATGAAGGCCTACATATAGGGAGTGTCACACACGCAGGAGTATGGATCGCATTCCTCTGCCTTCCTCTGTTTTATTTTATCGGTCACAGTAAAGGCCTCTGCCACCAGCCTCCCCTGAACCTCGGAGCAGAAGGCTTACAGCAACACAGTCAATCAGGGTTGTGTTCTGATAGGTGAATTCCTAGTCCATATTTTGTTGATTGTGACCAGAAATATTGAGAGTTGCGTAAGAGCGACACTAACTGCTGTGATCTGATTACAGGACGGGATGTTCGTCCTTTGTCTTTGTCTCTGAGACTTCTCAGTGATGAGTTCCCCTCCGTCAGGCCATCATCAGCACGGATCTCCGGAGAGGGGTTCGGAAGTAAAACGGAACTCCTGCGCACCCACTGTTCTGCACCCAGTTTTGATCGGTGACCGCTGGCGCCGCATATTCTTCCACCTCTTTCGAGACACAGCGTTCTCTCCTCTGACATAACTTGTAGGTGGGCTTAGTCACCCACCCAGTCATTCACGCAGAGCCCAAAGGCAGGCTTCTCATCCTGTCCATCGATCTATCCATAGTTGTTTTTCTGCACGTATACGCATACTCATGAATACGCAGGCTTGTGTGTGTGTGTTCTGCAATTAGTAGCAGCTACTGGCCTCAAGTGTGTGTGTGTGTGTGTGTGTGTGTGTGTGTGTGTGTGTGTGTGTGTGTGTGTGTGTGCACGTGTGCGTGTGTAGGCGGGCGCACCTGTGCGTAGATGTGTGTGTAGGTGTGATCTCCCTTCTGCAGAACAGACAGGAACCCTCTTCACTCCGCTCCACCCCCCCCCCTCATTCCATCAGATCTAGCACGCACATACACACAGCGTGACTTGTCATGTGCGCTTCTGCGGTCGGCTGTACAGGGCATTTGCATATTTGCAGCGAATAACTCTGTTTCATAAGGAAAGTAACAAAGGGGACACACCGTGCAAGAACCGCGCTGCACCACGACAACCACTTGCACAGGACGCGTGCGTCAGCGGACTATCATTACCAGGTCACACGACAGTCGAGTCAAGGCCGTTGCAGTGCTGTCGTCAGGTCCACGTGTTCGTCCTCTTCCGGCGGTAACACAGCCCCTTGCTCCAATGGACGTTCGTTCTACAACAGCTTGAAGTAAGCAGCATAATTAGACAGAAGAGAACCGAGAATTAGAGTCTTGGAGGAGCAGTTTTTACAGAGGGGAGCGTCCTGTTTTGTTGTGGAACACCGATCCACAACCCGCGCGCTGGCGACCCATTGGCGGTGGTGAATAAGTCAATAATTGTCATTCGTGTTTGTTTCCCTTGTTGGTAGTTCTTCCCAACTAGCCATCGCTGTCATACTCTTACACAACTCGAACATTTCCGATTGCAGACAACATATTTTGGGCCAGGCGCTTAGTTGACGCGTCTGATTTTATGGCTAATTTAACACGGGTCCAAAACTCAAGTTCTCCCAAACTGCGGACTAAGTGTTGACTGGCTTACACTGACAAGAAATCGCGATCCCAATCTCCATAGCACGCTTCTTATTCCGGTTTTTCGTGCGCTTACCAACACAGCAGTTTTTAGCCGGAAAGAACTTGTTGGGATTGTCATGAGGAGCCGAAGAATTTGGCTGGATCGACTGTGGTGATCATTGACGGATAATGTTTTCCTAAGGACATGACTAAAGCCCAGGGGGCGCAACAACTCTTTTAAACTGGAACAGTATTTTCCCTGATAAAGACGAGTCGGGGGATTGAGATATTTGCAGAAGAGATGCCATTCATACTAGTTTTTACAACTTTGAATTAAAGAAGAATGCTGTTCATCCGACCTGGAATGTCATCATCAACAGTACCTCAAATGTCTATTTCGGTCCTCCTTGCGACCGTCACTCTAATTTTTTTCCAGTTGATATATTCTCAAATCCTTTCGGTAGGGCATGGTCATAACCACCCGCGGATTAAAGGTAACCTCGTAATCAATTGCAGGGGGGGGGTTAGATTTGAGGTTAGAGCTATCATTAGGAGGTTTAGGGATGGTTGGTGTTAAGGTCAGAGTTAGGACACGGGAATAGGCATATCCCCCCTGGAGCTTAGCGCAAGACCGCCGTGGTGCGAGGGAGTGCTTATTCCCGTGTTTAGCCATCCCTTCCTCACTGGTAACACTTCTATGACAATTCGACTGGTAGATATCTTTCGTCTCAAACACTTTAGGTTGTCAGTATGTCAGGTTTTTTCCACATTGCAAAACTTCATGTTTTAAACGCAGCATTTTTTCTGGTTCCAGAACTTTAAGGTTTCGGCCAGTCAGTCGGCACCATAAGTAAACGGCCATGAATCCGACTTTAGTTCTACGCCTACTCGCGCCTTGGGGATAGAACCGTACTGCATTTCGTCGCGAGTGGAGAGAATGCGAATTTCAGGACCAATTAATATTTGCCCGCACCTGTTTCATTCAACGCATAGCATTTTTTCAAGGTCTGAAACTCCACTGTGCCAAAACTAATGTAGGCAGTCAAGCTGTAGTCGTCTCTATTATGCTTTCGGATGACCCGACCGCACTTTTTCGGCCTCTGTACGTACGGTGTCACCTAGACTGATGGAAGTCGAATCCTTGCGACTTTGCATATGCGATTACAATTACCTATTCGGGGGCGAGGGGGACGTTGGTGACCATCCGACTCTTCTGTCACCACGAATGCATTCAGATTCCTCCGACGTAAGTCGAAGCGATTTGTAATTCTAATTTCCGACCCCATATATGCAGTGACCCTAGGAGGGCAGTTGGCGGTGACGATACCGGGTTAGCTCGGACTTGTCTGATCTCCGGGTGGGCTTCCCCCCCCTGCCGATTTCAAACACATCTGCCGCTGATCGCATCCTCTGTCAGGACTTGAGTTCTTAGTGTTTCCTGCCATTCCTGTTTTATCCTGAACTACCAGAAACCAGATTTAAAAGTTTAACTACGAACTCACCTGACCTTGGACCGAGGCGCCTGAACGCATGGATGCCTAACCCTCAAATGTTATGTGCGTGTTAAACCTCCCAAGACGTCTTTGATTAAACTGCCTCACTAAGAGGATTGCAGTAATACAGTTAATTGACAAAATTAAAGAAAAGAGAACTCTAACACGAAGTCCTGACTAACCAGCCATAAGGAATCTGTGGTTTTAGTTTTTGAGTGGAAGGTACGCAAGACTATGTGGTGGAAGGGGGTCACATTGCCGCAGCTACTGTTAGTGGGCAGGAGACAGTAGTTGCGAGTGAATAGTTTGGGTGGCTGTCGAGCAGATGAGGCGGGCCCCGGTATCAAGTTGTGGCAGGCGTCAACGTGAGGGAATTGGTAGGTAGACGCAGCGTAAGAAGATTCGCGTTTCGCGACTGCCACCTCGAACGTTTTGATCATTTAATTCTAAATTGGAACAGCGGACACCACTGGAGTACGCATATCGACGTCATCTACTTGTTATTGGTGGAGTTTGATGGTCTGAGATTACGTGGACTCGTGGGTTTGGGCTGTTTAATCGGAATCGTATGGTTGTGTGCGTGGAGGTAGACAGATTGATATCTAAGTAGGGTTGCTCAGGTCGAGAATGGGCTTTGACTGTGTGGACGGGTATAGAACGCTTTGCGAGCATCAACGATGTTTCGCGTTGCCAGTGTTGTTGATATCGCGAGAGACATATGAGCCAGAATGTGATCTGGCAGCGCGAATACGTAAAAAAGGGCTGCCCACTGATAACGGTGTACCTCAGCACGCCGGTTTAGCGTGTTTAAGGCTTCTCCTTTGTCTACTGCTTTTGAAGACTGTTGTGTGCTTCTTTACTGCAGTTCGCCGGGCTTGTTGGTCCAGGGCATGTGATGAATTTCGGCAAGGCGTTCAGGGTGTCCTTGCAGAGCTTTTCTGAGCCTTTTTTGTGACGAGCCCCTGTTGCGATGTCAACGTAGAAGAACTGCCTCATGCGATGGCCCTCACTCTCACGATATGACTGCTCTGTTGAGGCTCAGTCGGCTTCAGCATTGCAAAACTGCCGAGCATGCTAGTTGATTTCAGGACTGGAACGACCGGCATCCGTTACCGCCACTTCGCCCTTGCTGCTTATGTGAAATTCGTGGTTTCACCAAATTTATGTAGTATCCGCACCGTAGACAAGCATTGTAAAGACCACACCTCCATGCATCTTCGTTTGACGTCGAGGAGAATTCTCCGTCGATTTCATAGAGAGTATTGAAGAAAAATGTGGGCTTGGCTGGCCTTAAACACGTCGGCTGCATTTTCGCAGTCGATTTTGATGCTGCTTTAATGTTGCCTCTAAGACTCGAGAGTTTGTCTACGAAGCTGGTGTAATAGTTTTTAACGCTGTTTGAGAGTGTCGGTTGGTAGACAGAGATCGTTTTCTTCGTTTTCTCATGTTGCAATCTGAAGTTGGTGCACTCGGGTTTTGCTGAACGGCCGCTTCAGTTCCAGCGTTCCATGCGCAAGCTTTGACAAGTAAATGACTTTTTTTCCTTTGTCTGGAGATTCCTGTGAATTCAGGGGTGTTGAAAGGCCTCCAGTCATTCCAGCAGTTGGTGTCGTTCCGGAATAACACATCGCGTATTAATTGATTTACGCTGATGATACCATGAGGTTGAAGATGGTCATAGCAGTTGTGCAATCCTGCTTGGTCCCATTACTCACGGCAAGGGGTTACAAGGTTGGTTCATGTCCGTAGCGTGTGCTGCCATTCCGTTCAACCCCAAGGTTCAGTTTCAAAGGTCCTAGTAAGATCTGTGATGCCTTGACTCTCATACTCTGCCACTTCTTTTGCACTTTTCGCTCCACGGGGATCATGTCAGTTGTTCCATGCCGCTTATACCCAGTGAGAGGAAGGACAATTTCTTGGCGATGTTGTTTCTTCCTTTTCTGCAAGGTGTATCTCACCTCTTCGTCGACAGACTGCCTTTGTTTGGAGAATCAGTTATCTACTCGACTTATAACGAGTCAGATCTCAGGTGACAACAGCTGTCACCTTCTCTGGTGGATTTGTCCCTATTTTCTCTAGGACCAAACGGATATTCCAGGTGGTTTGAATGGAGGAGGGTTCTCCAATAGGAAGGGGACACGGCGTAACGAAGCGAACTGCACATCCGCTTTGCTGGGCTGAAAGAGACACATGTCGGTCGGCCTCAGCTGGTCTAACTCAGCACACGAACCGGTTACTGGGGTACGGCAGCTGTGCGGAACCCACCATGTGGATAAGACGAAGTTGCCACCACGTGTGATAAGTCAACCCGACCAGATGTACGTCCCGCCTAGTCATCCCTTGCACACCTTAGCATAGTGGAGCTGGTAAATATGGCAGTCTGGACGCCCTTAAGGGCCTCAGGGGTGAGTCCCGCCGACTAGCATCAGTCGCACTCTGAACAAGTTGAAAGGGACCCGTCAACGGAGTGGAGTGACTAATCGTAGTATCTCCAGTGTAGTTTACCAAAGTTTATCGAAATGTTAATCCCCTGACAACTGAAGCATCAATTAGTCGAGGGCTCAGTACAGTCAGTGTATGCCTTATAACCCCAAAGGGTAATAGCGTGTTGAGGTGGAAAGCATACCATTCACTAGTAGGCTATGAGAATATGGAGCCCCAGTGTTTCAGGTAACCTTGCGACAATTTCAAAGGGGGGAGAGTAAGGCTAGTATTAGGAGGGATGGGGTTAAAGTTTGGAATTCAGCACTAGACCTGTAGTACTAGCTTGTAATGTGGGGAGTCTGTATTCCCATGCCTGAGCCACTTGCCGTCTACATATACTGAGACTGTCCAGAAAGTAGTTGGCCCAGTTAATTCCCCATCAAAATAGACGACACGTGTTAAACCTGTTAATATCACTTTGAATACGCGTAAGTTAGCATAAAGTTGCTAAACAGTACTGTGTCCCAGAGCCGTCTGAAGCTAGAACTAGACCATTTTGGCGGCAGCATTATTACGGCCTTGGTTAATCAACAATCTTTTGTGGTTTTGCGATAACAGGATACGCCATTGGTGCGGCAAGCCTATATTCTGAACGACCATGACACCTCGATGGAATGAGTCCAACTAGAGTTGCGGATCTCGCTAGATCCTTACTTCATTCGAGCCACAGCCCCGACGTGATGATGCGGGCATGACGAGCCCTTGTCCTTCTGTTCTGCCAGCTCAAGTCAGTATTTTTTTAAAACGCCGGAATAGGAATCCCCACACAACACAGGTAGCTTTGCGCTAAATTTCAGAAGGGGAATCAATTCTCGTGTCCTAACCTCCCGACCCTAGCCTTAACCCTACCCCTAACCATAACCTTAAACCAAATCCTTATCTTCCTGGAATTTGGCGTAATACCACGTGTATTAGGAGGGGAGGTTCGTATTGCCTGTGTGTTACCTCTGACAAAGATGTGTAGAGGAGCCAACATAAAGGACCTCTGAGGGGCGCCGTAAGAACCTTCAGTCCTTTAGCGTGGGCGTGTATGCCCAACCTCTGCTCTGTGGCTTCGCTTTAGATATCCAGAAGACCGTCTCTTCATCAACCTGTTGTTGCAGCTTGTGGCAACAACTACGACCTTTTCATACTAAACGCTTCATCTGTGGTTGAGACACTGATGTGAGATCATTTAAAATTTTCCCACCCTGATTCAGTTAGTCATCTTCTCGATAAAGCGATTACGGTCCCTTGCATGTGTGCGTTTGAGGGGAGGGGGGGCAAGCCATGCGTGTGTCGCGCGCAGACGAGCTCTCTAGATTTGTCAGGCACTGCGTCCATTCCACGCATCTTACCGGCTCGAACAGTGACTGGAGCCTGGGAATGGAAATAGAGAGTGTGGTCGACGACTCAGAACCTTTTCCTCACTATAAGCAATCCGACGTGCTTGAAGCTATCACAGTACGCTAAAAGCTGTATCTTGGAAGGTTGCCAACTGACGAGACAACTCGGACCTCGCAGTCGGCCCAGTGTGTGTTTGTGTGGTGGGTGGCGGACTGGTGGTCTGAGAGTCAGGCTACAATGGCCCCTTCTTAATGTGGCCTCTATGGCACTCCCACCTAGTGGTATCCGAGCCGGTTGTGGAGGCACGCATAGGGACGTCTCCGGTGGTGCCAGCCACCTACGCCCTCTTCCGCCTCCGGTATTCTTGACTGTGTCTGGACACCGGGCCCAGATGGGAGAGGGCAAGAGAGTGCGGTAGATGCAACGCGTCTACTGTCATTGTAGAAGGAATTACTCACAAGTCACCGTGCTTGCTCTCAGCCTGATGTGGAGCACACGGTAGACATAGTCGAAATCGACGGTCGAAGTGTCAAAACGATTACGGATAGGTAATGATAGTACCTTAACGGAGGCCGGCTATGCATGAATCCAACTCGGACGAAAAGGAGCACCTGGGGCCGCGTTAATATAACCGACGGCCAACTCTCCCCGTTAGAGCCATTCATACTCCTGTCGAAAAAGAGCGGCGAGCTCCATCCCAAATGCGTCATTGTCTGCCTTCAGCCTCGGAAATTCATTTTAATCTCACCACGTGTTGAATGCATCGCCTCCCGAGGAAATTATAACGTGTCGACTGACGAAAGGGGAACCTGCTGGCGCCGATCGTTGCACACCCAGAAGCTGGCACAGATATGGAAAGCGAGGGGCAGGCCTCTTTCGCCTGTCCACTTCACTAATCATCATCCAAATCCTGCGGGGGGCATTATGTTTTCATCCCTGTCGGTCACACCTGCCTAGAGATCACCTAGATGCACCATCGTGGTGTGACTTTGGTGTTTCCGTCTCATAGCCTGGTGTTATGAACATGCCCCCTTTTTGTTGGATCACGTAACAGATGTGAGACAACGTAGCAGGTCAACCCAAATAAAGGCAGTCGCCGTCTTCTCCTTCCTCCTCCCTGCCCATTCTCGCCCTCCTCCTTCCCCCTCTTCTGTCCCTTTACGTTCATTTCTCTCGCTTTTTCTCCACGTCAGCTTTCTTCGTCGGCATGCGATATCACATACTTCCTCCTTGCCGTTAAAATGCACAATGTTTCGAGCTGGGGACTGTTAGAATAGGCCCTTGCTCTAAGGATGTTTAGGTTGCATAAGAATACTGCAATACTGTGCATATTTTTGTAGTGGGAATACCCAGGGAGCAAACGGTTAAAATATCAGGCAGGATTTCTCATGAATCGTCCGACTTTCTCTTTCCCGCTCGTGTACACTCAACGCTCGTTTCACGCCATAGCATGCTCGTTATGTACCAGGCGCTCATGGTTTTTTCGCGCCCAGTAATTCTAAGCCCTTGAGAAAAGCTGTCCGGGCAAGCGCTGCCTCTTCTGTCTCCTACGTGGGTTTTCTGTGTGTGTATGCAGGCTTTGACTGTCTTACCAGTTTCAAAGCGTGTGAGCACTGTGGCACTGGTTGCCTTTCAGAAACACAGAGATTGTCGTCTGAAGGAAGCTGTCTTCGGCTTGCGCTCTTCTTCTCTTCTTATTCTGAATGAAATTTTGCCTGCTGTTCAAATACGCGATCCGGCGAAAAGACAAGATCTTCCAACTCAGCCCCCATCACCTACCTAGTGATCTCCATGTAGCTGCTTCATATCACCTGCGGTTTCCAAAACCGGGGTCTTGTGGAAACAAAAACTTCTATCCTAGGATGGGTGTTCACTGATGATTTACTGGATATGTCCGTTCCGTCGCACCTGGAGCCCAATGTAGAGCCCTGGCTGGTAGTCGCATAGCTGCCGGGAATACACGCAGGAAGAAAATTGCCGACAAAGCCATTAGAGGTTTATATGGCTATTTCTGTCATATGAGCAGTCTTCAGTCATCCATACCTGCGTGCAAGGGCTCCAGATTTAACTCTAAGGCACAACGGGATGAGAATGTCCCGTAGCCTGATCGATGAACGCCCTTTCCACGATGAAGGATATCGTTGATTTTAACCGAGAGGGTTTTGGGCTTAGGAACCCTAAACGACCATATGTCTCGAGCTTGAATCCTAGGTTGCTCAAGTCTGGGATTGAATATGACTGACTGACAACTGCTAATAAACCAGAAGTGACCGTCCCCATCCCGCCATGTCTTTGTCTGCGCTCCTTCCACAGTAACCTCTGAACGGCCAGATTACTTACCGCCCTCAAAACACCCTGGGTTTTTCCTTATCACTTACACCCATCCCTCAAGAGCTCTGACTGTAAGTGGCGTGTTGAGGTCACCGGCCCACTGGATCGTTTTGAGCTTTCTGGTGCCCCGTGGGAGAAAGGAGCTGGAATCAGATAGAAGACCCTGACCAATCAATTCGAGCCAAGACCAATGTATGGGAAAACATCGATGGTACTTTGCTTTCATTAACTCATCTGTGTAGATGAGCTTCCGACTGTGTTCAATCGCCGGCTTTGAGCAAGAACGGGGCTAGTCAATTAGGTGATGCATAAAGTAGGAACAACTGCTGCCTAAGTCTGCCTTGTTTTTGTCAGTTTACGTCCGTTGGTGTTTCGGAGCAAAAGTGATCACTGTAGGCCTGTTATTTGGTGCCCCCAAACGCACTGCTCCGTTATTGTGCTTGAACAAATCGTTGATTGCATTAGCTTATTATGAATTTTCAAGGTTGCCCTCAGACTACGTAGGTTGTCGTGCATGCGTATGACATGCGTTCGACACAGATAAACCCACGTCAGCCGCCGTGCTCAATCTCGTCTGATTCCTAAAGGCCGCTGATATTTGAGAGAAGAAAAGGAGGTAACGGTATACAGAAGGACCCCACTTAACTGTCAATAGACTGTCGCTTTTTAATTTCCTCAGAAATTATCTACGAAGTTGGAGTAGATCAGTGTATTCAAGGTGTATAGGCTCAGAGCGAGAATTTTATGCATGAATATTTGGGCCAAAGTAGCAGGCTGTGTATCGTGCCATACGTGATTTTTGGTAAAGGGAGTTTTATGAGGGGGAGAACAGCATGCTAGACAGCAGGTTGACAAAATGAAAGAAAACACAGAAATTGTCTGGATTTATGCCGAAAGTCTTATGCTACGCTATTGTATGAGAACGGAAATGAGAGTAGTAATTAAACAATAAACAAAAAACCAATTTCACACGGTGACGGATTTTGAATTAGGGCGTGAGGTTGTGGGAAGTAATCGCTCTTGGCAGTGAAATTTCTGCAACAGCCTGCTAATGTGTGCGAAGATAAAACCCCATATGACGCGATCGACAGTCCACTGACAGTTAAGTGGGGTCCCTCTCTATACCGTCGCCGAAAAGGGAAAGCGCGAGAGAGCCAGATCGATCCAACTGGGATCAAGCGTTCGGTTTTATTACTAAAAGCCACGTTTTAAAATTTTCGCAACGCGTTTGTAGTCGCGGTTACCGGTCGATCAACTATCTTCGTTATATCCAGGACTGAGGATCAGGCTGTAATGATCTCCTCTTCATGCGACCTTTCTGACAATTTCACTTGAATGGATTGCGGGAACTGCATCTTTCTTTGAATACCGTCGCGCGAGGTGCGTGTAAATGGGCCGTGTATCTCACTTCATTCTTGCTTTTGGAATGCGGTATGTGCATGCGCAAATGTGGCGAAAACAGCAGAAGTCTGTCTCACTATAAATAACATCATACTCAAGTCACTGCCGTGGCCACCTTGGAATTGTACGGATACCCCCTCCCTTTCCTATGATGCATCAACTGCCAGAAATAAATTCTGCATTTACCCAACTGACGTAGGTCTCCTGACTCACCGAGTTGGCCCCACTTGGAGATAATGGGGGCTCTTTATGAAGGTTCATTGGTTTGTCTGGGTCAGGGGTGTGTGTGACTGAAGAAGGCAAAGGCTCTCACAACTCTAATTTTCCAAGTTGATTCCATCAATACTCCTTATTTTGCCGAGTAGTGTGTTCAAATCTTTGGGGTCGGGAGCCTGTCAGTGAACGCCAATCTACAAGAATAGAGACTTCGGTCAAGCAGGTATAATTTACGTTATACTTTTGCCGAAGAAAGGGTGATTTGGTGCGAATCCACCCCACATGCAACTCCTTCATCAAAGCAGACTGCCAGACCTCTCGAGACCTCACCTAAAATATGCCCTTTTTCACTGGCCCCACCGATGTCTGATTCTCTCCCCATACTTCAGCCATGCCCGAAGTGAAATGTATTCACATTCACCAAAACGTGGTCTCAACGTGAGTTCTTGCTGCGGGCCTGGTTGTGACTTTGACCAGTAGCCAGGTCATACAAGAGAATCGAGGGCACCCTTCGTTTGCGTGCGGACAGCAGCGACGTTTGCTGCCAAAGGTTGCCTTACTATGCAAATGATGGCTTCGTTTGTGTGGCAGGTCTTGGTCTCGTTCTTAGGCGTCTGGCTGACCTTTTCTCTGGCACACCACGCAGACCTCCATCTCAAATGCCATTTTAGTCGGCTTTAACTCTCCCATCTCATCAGGTCAATGCAGTCAGAGGACCCATCAGTAAATCTCGTCCACTGTCAGAGTTGTTTGTAACTCTATGGCTTTTCAACAAGCGACTTATTTTGCAATTAAGTAAAAGCACTTCTTGCTATCCGAGGATCCACTGTCGCCGCAAACTCTGGCAGGGCATACAGTTTCATGGAGTGCAGACCTCCTTCTGCACCAAGTTGGACTTGACAGTTTACGTGATGAGTGAACGTCTTTGGGTGATCGTTTTAACAGGAATGCCTGCTGAAAACAACCTCATTTGAAGTGAACAGGATACATATCAGTTTGGAGTTTTGATATAAGTCAGGATTCCTCATCATTCTCCTCCTCGTTCGCCTTCAGTAGCCAGAAGAATTGGTGTATTAGCTGTCCCTGCAACCATTTCACACTGTCGCTGTCTGAATCAGCTGCACTTTATGCGGCAGCCGGTATGTGGCGCCCTGCCAGTGGTCTAGCTGTCGGTCACGAGACTCCATCACTGGAACAAGAATTTCGTTCGCCTGACATCTCGGATTCACTCTGGTACCAATCACGCAGACAGCAACTAGTAGGAGTGGCGGACGCTTAAGGGTGCAGTATTTATGAAATGGTGCTCCCGCTCAATCGTACACCTACTAAAATTAGTAGGTCATGCATTCACCATGTGCGTTCGTATTTGGTACGAAAGAGGCTTTGTCGCCCTCATACGAGTCGGCACTACGGGTGATTGCATCACTGTTTTTAATGACAGATGTGATATGCACTGGACAATTTGACTCTTAAGGGCTGCCATGTAAATCAGCGTGCTCCTCGTGTGGCTGTCTACCCTGTCCAGGCAAAGTGTAAACACTTAATGGAAGGAAGAGCGTCATTGCGTCTACTGACGGGCTGCGGTCTGGAAAACCATGACTCACCCACCTCTTACCTCTGGCGAATCTTTCGATTTTCTCAAAAGCAGGCGGGCGATCGGGTCCAGTCCTTTCTCCTCACTCTGACACATGTTCGGCCACTTGCATTTGGGGTAATCTTTCTGTCTTTCGGAAGCTCCTAGTGGGCATCACAGTACACAAACGGCCGCGCAGACTTTTCTTTTCGTGACGGCGGGTCTCGCGAACTCACCACTTGACGCCTGAAGGTTGCCTCTGATCCGTGTGCAATCCCGACCCATAGCCGAATGTGGAGGCTGCAGAAGTTTTCCAAGAACGCTCTTGATGTACTGGGAGCGCTTACCAAAACTGCATTCCGATGGAGTCCGTCCCCTTATCTCGTCTCGCATGTGCCGGTCGCGAAGTTTCGTGAACAATCGTTAGCTCTTAGTACTCGTCAAAGCCATTGTAATTAAGCAGCCGAATTTTCCGGATAATTTCGTTGCCTTAACCTGTCGATAGAGAGCCCCCACGCATTTGCATTTGTGGCTGTTTGGGTGACTGCTGTTGGCGTTTAGTACTTGCACCGTATTTATTGCTTTCCCAAACATACACCTTTAGGCTACCACAATTTTTGCGACAGATGATGACATCAAAGAAGGTTATAGGATTCCCCCCCCCCCCATCGTGACCTGCGTGTTCGAAAAGATGTATTCGAGCAGTCTTCTGGCGCTATAATCCGGATGCGCTCTATTATGGCGAAGATATCATCCGCATACCAGGGTGCTGAAAAGCCAGCGACTTTAACCTCTGAAAGACCGCCAGGGCTATGAGTCCAGACATAAATAAATCTACGAGCTTGCCCCCATCTCCTCGCAGATTGTTCCCGAAGGCGTGAAGTACGTTTTGAGACACGACGTCAGGAGTTGAAGGACTTTGCCGTGAACAAGATTACAAAGTCCGTTTTCCGTTTCATTGCATTTGCTTTCCAAGAGTAGTCCAATTTACCAGACTGTTAGGTACTGGGGCAAGAGGTAAAGAGGTATGTGCGGTCAAAAGGTTTCGTGACTTCATTTTGCAGGTGACCTATCCCTACACATTTCCCCAAGAATTATATTGACGAACTGACTGTGTTGTCACAATGAGTAGGCAAGAGTTCGAGACGCCTAACCAAATATTCAACCAGCCCGTAAGCCTAAACCTCAATTAGCGATATGATGGACTGGAGGGAGCGTCCCCTTTACTGGAAAACCTTGTAATCGAATTTAGGCCGCCTCTTGGCCTACCACAATACATCAGGCAGCCAGCAGTATAGTACAGGAGTCCTCAGTTGCCAACACTTCCGTAGTAATTTTACGTGTCAGGGAGAAATCCATGTGAAGCACTGAACCGGCGTACTTCCAGTAAGCTCTAACTCTTCATAAAATACTCATATCTTCAGTACGGCGATTAGATGCTCCTTGTCCGCGAACTGGATAACGAAGTCGTTGTCAGCCTTAAGTCCCCTCTGTCCATCTCATGCGACCTTGGCGTAGGTGCGGACGAATAAACCGCGTTGGGGAAACAAGAGGATTATTTCAGACGCCGAAGACCGGGCACATGTCGTCAGTGAGAAGGATAAACTCAAACTCCCAAGTCTCGGCTCACTCGAAGGGGCCCAGTCACACCGTCAGTTCCGACTTTGCTTGGGCAGAGTGTTTAATCACATGATGATAGCGTGCATGAACATCGTCCCCGATTACAGTACTGCTTGAATCAAATCACCGAGTCAGGATCACGCAGTTAACCAATTGGCAGTAATTAGATCACAGCCATTAACGACTCTGGTACAGGAGAACAGTTCGTTATTACAATGAGAACGCATATCGTGAGGAATTCGAAAACTGTCAGTTATAGTAGGCGTGTGGTCGCGTGGCAACTGCGTCTTTGTCTGTTGCTGTCTCCGATGTTGGGTCAGAAAGTGCATCCGAAAGGTCTGGCAAAAAAATTCTGGTTTCATAGATCGAGGTTCTTTCGGTCAATATACTTCCCGGAACTTATATTTTCAATTTTAACAGCCGGTATCCGTCAATACTGGAGGCAGATCATGATTTAAACCGTCGCAAATGTTGAGCTTTTGCAACTTTTGATTCCGCGGGGACCTAGCTCATAGAGCAGGGCGCTTCTAGCAGTCACTTCTTTCATCGACACATCGTCCCCCTATCTGAACTAGTATGATTCTGGCCCGCGCTGTCTCCAAATGCCGGGCTGAAAAGACCCAAATTCAGAGGTAAGACGCATAACCGACCATTTGTTTTCTAGTTGGACCTGGAAAGTATGATTTAGAGGTCTGACGATGTTACAACCAGGCGGTCTAAATAGCTTGCTCCAATTTTTCCATCCTACTAATCCATTGGACTTAAGAAATTTGAATCGGGATTTATGAAGCCTCTGGTAAGTTACGCAGCATCGCTCGACGAGTCACCCCAGATTTTAGTTAGGTGAGAGCCCGAAGTAATACGGCAGTCTTCATATACTTCAATAATTGGCGTCTCTATTCACTGTGCTATTGATCGAAGTCCGCGGGTGCTTTGAGAAAAGTAAGCTAACAACGTCAAAATAAGAGAAGAACGCGTGCCTTCGACAACCGCTTTCTAGCCACATGAACTATCCAACTTTTCACGTTTTTGTTCACAGAGCATAAACACCTGATTTTGTTAAAAGAACAAAAGTTTCTGGTGATATTGCAGTTTACCTACTTACTCATAAGAACCCAGCAGTCCCCTTGAACATCTTGTGAAAAATAAGGCAAAATAATGTTCTGCAAAATACCCCGAGAAGTGGCAGTTTGCACACTGTGGGCCTTTGCCTGCATGTGGTGTCTGCGGGATTTCCGGCGCTGTTGTGTGCGATGCTGAGCAGAAATTTGTCTCAGCTAAATCAAAGGTGTGGAAAAAGATAGGTCTATTCTTTCGGACCGAAATCAGTGATGACCGTTGAAAGTCGCCTGACAAACCACCTCTCTCGAAGACAGTGTTGAATAATAACTCTTTTTGTGGTAGAAAGCCTGACTTCCTATGAGCTAACTGAGAGAAAGATATTCGCCTGGTTATTTCTTCCAAAAATATTTACGTCTATTTGGACCGGTATGAATTTGCTAGAAGCCATGAAAATAATGCTCGTTGACGATTTCTTGTTAAGGAAAAGAGTCAGATCGGTTAAATTACTTGGTATGGATAGCCTATATGCCCCGCCCCGGGACACGCGTAATCGTAATCTGAACTCTAACCCTGTCTTGACCCTAAACCACAACCTAACATTAAACCCAACTCTTAACTTGGCCCTAACAATAATTTCGCTGAAATGTAGCGTAATGCCATACATTTTACGGAGAGTTCTCTTCCCCGTGTCCTGCCTTGAAGGGGGGGATATAAGCAATCCTCGCCAGTTATTTTTTGCGGAAATCAGATACGCTGCAGTTACTGTACGTCTACAATGGGTTAAGATCAACCGTTCGTCTTTTGGAAGTCAGTAGGTAAACAGTGATGTCGAATTCATTTTCACCCAACAACACAACAAGAATTAACACAATATGGCTTTTAGCTACTGTTCTCATTGACAATTCTAAGGTGCAGACATCGGTTTTTTTCGCATTAATGTGTTCATTCTTTATTTTGAGAAAGAACAAAATGTTCCTTCTCAACCGCATGGTTATTTGTGCTGTTTAAATGATCATCTTGAAATGTGGTGCTACTGGTGGTCAAGTTCCACCTTATGGCTGCCCACAGTGGAGACATCGAATCGCCATCGCACGTTGTCATTCGCCGATTTGAACCCCGACCGACTGCCGTATTAATTTACCCTTATTTGTAAACAAACAGAGACGCCGCTTCTCCCAGCTGATTCATGCCACCGTTCGAGGACTGCTAACTATCTTCTCGTAGTATTATTTTCAAAGAATAAAGAAACTGGGATGACCACTTCTGATTTGAGTGCCATCAGCAGTTACTCCTACCCCGGGTCCATAACAAAACAGGGATGTCAAACGCCTTTCCAAAATCGGGATAAATTGCTTCACACTCCCTTCCGTCTAACTGTAAAGTACGATTGGAACCGTACTCTCTGCCCGAAATATATCGACTGAGTCATTTCTCCAAATCTCCTGCGCTCTGACAATTTTCTAACCCATTGTGAATTGTTTGCTTTCATTTACCGATATTCAAGGCGATGAAAGAGACCTCAGTCACGCTGGAACCGTACTCAGCGGAGGCTCTCTACACTGAAGCCTTTGAGAAGCCACCCCTGCCCTCCCTACTTCTCACTTTGGAAGGCCGTTTTGTCGGTCGTGGTGGCGAGGGTGTGTTACCCTTCGATGGTATTCTGCGCAAGTTTCGGGTAGACACGGGCAGTGTTCAGGTCTGGCTCATCTCTGAGTACTCTCGGACCTTGTTGCCAGTCATCAGCCACGGCCAATTCTATCGCGGGGAGACATATGTCATTCGTTGGTCCTTCCAGCTGGTGTATAGTAAGTCCCCCATATTCGCATCGTGTCCAGTCTCCCTCCTACTCCCCCCTCCAGAGGGGCCTCGTTATAACAATCAATCATGCTTACTATTAACTTGCAAGTAAGCTTTATTTTTATCTTAGCCGGCCAGCGTGACGTTGCCAGTAGTACTCGTAACGTACACAACAAGGAGCAATGTGCCTACTTCTTTTGGCAGGGTTCAACCAGCAGGATCACACAACAAGGTGCTGCAGCCTTAATGACAGTTGAGCTCGATGAAGAGAAGGGTCCTCAGGTATGCGAGCAAGCCATTTTTCGGTAAATCGTTATGGTTTCTCTCGAAATCGGTTAGTTAGCCCAGGTACTTGTCTTGGTTTCAGATACGTGTAGTTGAGGGCAAGGAGCCACCGGCATTCTGCAATCTCTTCAATGGACGAATGATCGTCCATGATGGCTTTGCTCCTAAGCAGTTCACCAATGGGACTCTATCTGTCTTCGGTGAAGACACCATGGTAAGCACCTTGATTTCTGTACTTCACTGTAAGTATGTATAAGGTGCTATTAATTAACCCCTTATAACGTCTTGCTCCTAATAACGGGGCTCCTAAATGCGTCTCAGTTGATATAATCCTGGATGGCACCACTTTATCATTCTCCGGTCAGTAAGTGAGAAATCAACGAAAAGGATTTAGGCGCCTGCAAGGTGTGCATGTTTTGCCGACAGTGTGTTCTTTAGTATTTCTGCTGACGGAGAGCTCAATGTTAGACGACACTAACCCGGTCTTTCGTCAGGCCCGATGACAATTGCTAAACTGAAGGTGATTGTTCGACCATGGGGGTTACCGCTTCTTTCAACCACGATATCTACCCTCAGTGCTACTTTTACAATGGTCTTAAAGGCGATAGGCTTGGGTATGATGGTACTACGGTTTTTCAGCTTACCTGCCGAAAATCTGTTTCCACGCACACGAATCCTTCGTCTTCATTATTTTCATCATGCGCTGTCCACCTAAAACGTAGAACACCACAAATTTTGTTTTCTTCGGGCTTGAATGCCTGTCTACTGGGCATCCGATTTCTACGTGGATCAGACAAGGATTGATGGTTAATGTGTTCTGTTTTGAGGGATCATTTCGCTTTGCGGACTAGGTGTTAATACCTTAGCGAGTGGTACTGTCATTATGCTAACCGGTGGGTCAGGGGTATGTGTCCACCAATGAACCATCTTATAAACTTCCTTTTTAATGCATTAAAACAAACATGCAGCGCAAACACGGTTCACTACGGAACACCACTTTTCCTCACCTAGAAGGCCCCTACTACCATTATTCGCCTATTCAAAGTGGCTCTGGGCCATAATTCAGCGACGTAGACATATTCGTTCCTAACTGACCAACCTAGCAGCTATCCTACTGGTCGTTGTCTTACAAGTCTAGAGAAGACGAAGACAGGGTTAACTGTCCGTTGTAATATACGCCCCGCCAAGTGTTGTGGTTATTTCACGCTATATAAAGGCTACTTACCTCGAGCTAGTCAGATTATATATAGTCAAATAAGATGGAAATGTCCGATACACTAGTTAACGTAACTCATGAATCCTTAACTGAGATTTTGGAGTGCCATGTCGGTCAAAATGCATTACCTTTGGTTCGTGAGCTGTCGGAAGAAAGGCCACAAACTTCACACTAAAATCCTTGTAGCGCACAAACCGCTCACCCCGCGTCCTTTAAGGTTATACTGGGAATAAAATAACTTTAGGGTTATGTTGGATGTCAAACAATATTACAACCCCACGCAAAATAATCCCTTCTAACCGAAGTCGTCTTTCAAAATTTCAGTCAATGTTTCATGAGTTACGTCACCTGTTGTATCTGCTTATGTGAAACTTGAGCTCTCTAGTCATGGAGTAATGACGGGGTGCTCTAAAACAGACTGACTTATAGCGAACAGCCCTTCGCCCTTCTCACGAATTCGACCCACTTCATTTGAGAAATAACTGGCCTTCTCTTCGATCTGCCTCTGTTTCTTTCTTTATAAGATGCTGTTTTTGTCCAATCTCTACAGCCGACCAACACGCGCATGTTCTTCGTTCGCGGTGAGCGCGCCACCGAGGCCCACCTCTTCGAGGTGCCCCCCAGTGTCACCTCACTTCGCAGCCGCGGTGTCTTTCTCATCGTCTTCTACGCCGACCGTGGCATCTTCAAGAAGTGTTGGCTCTGGGTGGGTGCAGGGGCTCCTGTCATTTGCCGCGAGGCCGCCAACTACGTTGTGCAGCGTCTTCAGGAGAGGTGAGTTTGGTGCCCCTTTTTGCCAGCGCTCTCACCGCCGCTCAACCCCGTTTAGAGCGGCTGGTAGAAGAAATAAAATTGAAACCACGACGAGTGCAGCTGACTGCTTCGTCTCATTCCTAGCCAATCAGTTTTTAGCTTTATTTTGTCCTGTTAGGACTCGAGTCTATAATCATTCGTAAGTGGTCCTGCACTTTTAAGCGCCATGACTTCAGCAGGGTGGCATAACAGGGGTCGCATCCCGAGCCGTTGATATTTCGGACTTGATGGGGGAAGTCTCATGCGATATTTAGGCGTTTACTGTCGACAATCTTGCTGACGTCCACAGACGATTTTTATTTAATGCCTCATTACCACACTCTTCGTTTCTAACAAAATGTCTACAACTTATGCGCATATCTACCCACTTTCAGATATAGGAGGACCTGTAGTTTCGTTTTTGCACAAGAATCCAGTTTCAACTGTGAAGCTCTACTTTATTATAGAGTAGTTAGTCGAACAACGGATTAAATGTGGGATGGAGTTTCATGGCGCCCGCATCCTACCGACAGACAGTCTCAACTGACTTCACCCGTTCGTGAGTGTATGGGATGTCCATGTTGGGCTAGTCCTTTGAATGCATTTCCACAGAGCGGTTATCCTACCCTGACCCCATCTAATGTCCAGCTTCCATCCGTGACTCAAAGTCTGTGCCAATCGTTACAACCACGCCCCGAAAACTATTTCTTTTGGGGGGCAAAGCCTTTGTAGATTTGAAAGCCTGTCTTCAGTGCTAGTGAACTGGCCCCTAAAATAGACCACGCAATAGATGCGCTAGGCCAACACAGGGGTTATCGGGAATGCGCACCCATAAGAAATGCCAACATTGGGGGTTTGGTGACACGCTCATGTATCGGCTCACCCCGAGCCTACTGAGATCCATGCTACCTCCCCACTTTTCTTGTGGTATCAAATCCTGGTCAATGTGTGTTGTGAACCAGCGGGTGTGTGCGCCCCTAAAAGGGGCCACGTTGTAGATGCGTTGGACCAACACGGGGGGGGCAACACCGGATTTCGGCAGGCGTTATCGGGAATGCGCACCTTTAACAAAAGTCAACACGAGATATGGCGGCAATTCCAGGTGCCGGCTCATTCCGTGCCATTTTGGATCCGTGCCGCTCCCCATTTTCATCGTGTATGAAATCATGGGGACGGGGTGTGGTGGTAAGCCTAGGTGCGGCTTTACGTCGTGCTAATTGCCTGCGGTCTCTCCCGCCTCCGGTCTTCTTGGCTGTGCCATCATACCGGGACCAGGCGGGAGAGGAATGAGTGCGATAGGCGCTGCGCAAGTCTAGCATCATTATAGACTAATTCACGCGTAAGTTGCCATCCGTGCTCTCACTCTACTGTGGAGTACACGGTGGACATATTCGAACTGTCGTGTGTGAAACTGAGTTTGGTTATGGTGGAGGTCTTATCCATTGGTGGAACAGGCAAATTGGATTCTTGTACCCGGTCAACCTCTGCGCTCAAGCCCCCACCCAGTCGTTCTGACCTAGTCTTGCAACTTAATCGGGATAAGTGTGATAGGACAAAAAGAGGGAAGACTCTCTCACACGTCTAAGACCTACCACTGCCCCGACTACCGGTCATTGTCTGGCTCGACGGATGAACCGTTGTACGGTTATAATTAGTGGTCCAAGAAGCTGCTAGAGGCTAGTCATTCTTTCCAATTTTTCCCATACTGAAGTTCTTTACTGAGCGATACTGTCACTTTTTTCTTCTTCCCTACCCTAGCTGTCCACCCGAGCTGGGTGAGGGTCCCTTCAGGGTAACGGAACTGCACGAGGAAACCGGTGCCACTGACGTCACCACGGACTCGACTGGTGAAATGTCGGAGTGCCTCACCTGTCTGGAAGGCTATTCAAGCCTACCACCCTGTGTGCATTTTGAGGGTAAGCCATCCGTCTCTTTTTATCAATGTATACTCTCTCCTTCCCGCCCTCCCCCCACGACGTCTAAGCACTCTCATCTATCCGTTCCGTTTGCGGGTAAAATTTGGGCTCGAGATGGTCCAGCAGAAGAGGAGCAGGAAAGCGTTTGGAAGTCGTGGGTTAATTCATATTAGATAACATTTCGGCCTCTGACTGAGAATATATCCAGCAATCAGTGTTATTTACATTCAGCAGCAAGTCACTGCCTGTCGGACACCAGAATAAATACTCCCCGTACTACGTGGGGTTTTGCACTAGATTTCCAGGCAGGTACCCATTCACTGACCCCAACCCTATCGCTAAGAGCCCTGAAACCTAGCGGAGGGCTATCGGAAATATCGGGAGATGCTTAGAACCGGACCCTACCTTACTGTCCAACCGAATTAGAAGAAGAAGAAGAAGAAGAAGAAGAAGAAGAAGCCGCATAGATCGTCAACCACCACCCCCTCCTTTTCATTCAGTTTGCCGAGTCTTGTGTGTTATCTACCAACCGGAATACATTCGATCCGATTTCCCAGAAAGGATGTGCAAAGTTCTCGTCCTATGAGCTTTTTGGTAGAAATCAAATCTTCCTAAAATAGGCTATACGGAGTACGGAGTATTTGGAGCAAGCCGAGCAGCGAGACCAGACCGCGCCGACCCAAAATGTCGGCGGTCCCTTGCATGCGCCAGGAACGTTTCGGCAGCCGTCAGCCGCCTCCTCGTGCCACTCTGGTTTGCGGCCGAACGGCGCATTTTCAAGACAGAAAGTGCCTGGAGTTATTTCTCGGATATGGTCTAGTTTGAGTTTAGGCAACCACCTCGTAGAAATTAGAAGATTATTCTGGTCGTGGATGGTCGAACATGTAGCAGAATGAGAAGGAAGGACTCGAGGCCGCGGCCCACTTGACAGGCCCGGGCCTAATCTTCAAGTTCGGCGACCCGAAATGTTTGTCAGGGATGCCTACCGTAGGATTCAGGAGCTGCTTGTGCCGTGATTTTGCATGCCGTAGTCCGTCAGCAAACGCAATCATGTCCCTACTGCTATTCAATGTTAAGACTTTTGGGTAGAATAATTAATCACGCGGGAATCTTATGCATGAACACTGCTTCCGGTGATACTATTGGCGAGCCAGAGTTTCGAACAATTGTTATGCCCGGCACCAACATCAATGCTAAAATTACTGTCATTAGCGACTCAGAAGTGGGAAATGAAGCCACTATCGAACCATCAGCGATTTATTTTGGGATCGCCAACTTTGGTGAAGATGCGGCGTCATGCCAACTAAATCCTATAAATGCTGCAACTCCAGCACATCAACTAGCCGAACCGTTAAACGATTAGAATTCTTGTTCCAGCGAACGAGTTTCTTCTTTTCAGTTGGGATAACCCCTGACTGGAGGCCAACATGCAAATCCAGAGCATCTGTCCCACGCTAATCATCACTGCACCCTCGTTTGATTAATCTGTCTTCTTTGAAAGCATATTTCGGTATTTCAGCCACGGCATTATTAGGGGATTAAGCGGCCGTCTACTCTGTGTCATGCTGAGATAGTCTGTAGTTTTAGAGCAGCCTCTTTGCTTTATGAGAAGCAACATATGTGACAAGCCACACTCTCCTTTCCGCGGTGCCCATCGTGTTTTCGAAAACGGCCGACCGGTTGGCTTATTCCTCTTGGCCGAGTTCAAGTTCAAGTAGGTAGACATGAGCCTCTTCCCAGGCCTTACTCAAAACCCCCCTCTTTTAGGTAGGAGCACAGTAAAATCACAAAGATTACACTGAAATCGGCCGAAAAGTAGGAAAGATTGCAGGTGCATTGGCTTTAAAGTATTTGTTTCTACGCAGGCAACCAGCGCCTCGTGGTGTGGCAACTGAATTTCACCCTCAGCGACCAGCTCATGCCCTCCCGGCTGACTTACACCCTGGAACCGGACATCACTGCGGCGCCAGCCTTTGGCATCTCCTTTGGCGCCTATCCCACCAACGACTCCTTTTACTCCCCCAAGCTACCCGTTCCTCCCTTTCCCGTCCTACTCAGCGACCTGGATGCCGCCAATCAACCGGGTGAGCGGTGGACCTTCTGGTGTTTCAATTGCATCATACTTTTCTGTCGGATCGAGATCGGGCAGGTGACTCAGTGCACGTTGTAAAGCCATTGCTATGGGTTATGCTAGTCTCGCGCAATGACCTAATCGTTGTTCGACCTTGTTTATTGTCTCCCGAGACGAAAGAATCAAATGGAGGAAGACACTTTTGGACAAGGTGTATTAACAGGTCAACGCTTTGAACGGTGTCGTCTTCTTTTCATTGTCAGTGTCGATACTATGTAATCAAATCAACCAGACTTTCCGAATGGATCAGGACTGTCCTGATCGTTTTTCGTCGTAGGACAATGTCTGAATTTGTGAAATGAGTGTTCAGCTTAACAGCTCATCCATCGGGTGAGTTGGCTTTCAGGTCGTCGCTGGGCGACTTCAGTACTGGCCTCGTCAAGTCTACTGCCCAGGCTCTCCGAAAACCGTACAGCTCAAGATAAAGGCTGATAGTCGGAAATTATTTAAATCAGTCGATGCGTTAGGGTTCCCCCGGCCTACTAATTACTGCATCATTACCTATTTGTGAATCAGAACAATATGGTAAAAGTGGACTCAGGGTGGTTTACCGGAGACGATTTTGTACACAGCTCACTTGATAAGGAAATTAACAACCCTTATAACGGAACAGCAATCCCACAGGTTCAACCACTCCCGCTGACGTAATGAAACTCCTTCTGGCAACGATCGCCGCATTTTATATTAATAAACTAATTGTAACATTGATGGGCATAGGATGGTTGAAATATGCACATTTTTGAACGTTGACTGCTTCAAAGTAACGGCCAAATATAATCTCAAGGTCACCGATTGTGTAAGCCACTGCGGCATAACGAAGGAAGAGAATATCTCAAGGTCACTCGCCTGATTCGCAACAGCTACTATCGCATTAATCAGGCCGTAATAAGCAGCGAATATGTAATACAACTCTTTAGGGGTAAGGCTGGTTACCTCAGTGAGCTGTTTAAAACACCGTTCGATTTTGTTTTATAGTGCAGACTGTCAATGTACAACTGAACCACATGCTAAAATCATCGACCCGACAAAACATTTGGTTCAGAGAGGCCTTTTTCGCGGTCTATCACCCTGGGGCTCTTGCGTTTTGGAGTTTATGCAAGCGGCCACAGAAACTGAGCAATACCTCGGCCTACAGTTTGGGAGGGATTTGTGGTAATCGACGTAGCCCAGCTCTAATCGAGGTTTCATAGCAGACACCGGGCTCTCCAACCGCAGTGTATAAAAGGAGCTTTCCCTCCATTCAGGTCTAAAATATATTCAGGTGGAGATTTTAGAGAAAGCACGAGCAACGAAAAATGAACTCATAACTGAACTAGATGGAGGTTAGTCAGAGCATTACCAACAAATTTATTCTGAAAAAGTAAAATATGACTAAACGACTGCTCCATGTATCATTAGGCAACTATCGGCTTCCTGAACGGATAATAAAGGTATGTAGATGAGAAATATATTCTGTAAGCCAATCGGAGGCGCCTTAGACAACGAACCAATGACCACTAGACACGATAACACAGTCCAATTCCGTGGTCACAAACGTTAGCCTCACCCCAAAGACAGAAAAACTGGTCCTAGCACATCAAAATCAGCTCATACAAGCGTCAAGTTATTTACGCTAACAGAGCAGAGCGTATTCTGTCGGGCGATTACGCGCAGCTGCACATTTTAATTCTGAGGATCCGGAAATGGAGCATCTCAGACTCGAAATTTTGCTTCGTTTGCACTATTCATTTTGCTCTTTGTAGCATAATTAGCATATGTCCTAGCCCGTTTAAAACTTTCGTTATCAGACAGCTGCTGAGGAAGCTTTCATGCACTTCAGCCAAGTTGCAAGAGATCTTCTTGCTGTACGATATTCTTCATAGTTATCGCAATTGTCTGCGATCGGTTCGTGTCCGGACTTCCTGTACCGGTAATTACTTCGGAATTTGAAAGGAACACCTGTGAGTTGACCGTCGACTGCTTATGTGCGGCACGCTAACCTGCTCCTCCCCCCTCCTCGTGGAGATCATTTGTGTCTGTGAAGTCGTCATGCTGGTTATGCTATTATAATAAATGACCTGACTGGTTGCTTATGGAATTAGGTTCATGCGTTAGTTAACAAGTCTTCTAAGTTTAACGTCTGATTACCGACATTTCAGACAGCCTTGTGGTCGTTATTAGAGTCCCCTTTTGTTGTCCGTCTTTAGCCCTCTTCCTGGTGCTTCATGGCAACGCAGTCTACCTGTGGCACGGCTGGTGGCCCGAGGCTACCTTGGACGCTGGCGAGGGGGACTGTTCCGCCTCAACTACTCCGCGAAGTAGTACCTGCGACCTGACCATGGAGGTGGGGGCAGCCAGCCCAACCTTCGGACCCGCTTCTCCCCCATCATCCAACTCCTCCGTCAAACTGCGCAGACAGCAGTCTCTCTTCGCCAGCCCCCCAGCAAAACCCGAATCGTGGCGACCGAGCAGTTTTCAAGAGGACTGTTTTATCAACAGCCACAGTCCCCCCGTCTACGGGAGCTCGCCCGCACGCGGCGACACTACTGGCAGCGTCGGCAGCAGCAGCAGCAGCGGAGGAAATGCAGCCGCTTTGCCGCCGAGCGGCGCGGGTAGCGCGCTCTCCCGCTACCTCAGCGCACGATACGCCGCTCTGAAGACTGCCAAGGCCCTGGCTGAACGAAGTGAGCTTCTGACTCGTCCGATTTTAGCCAATCTGCCTGAGCCCAATCTCCTGATGAGAGCTTACAGGTTCGAGGGGGGCGGCGTGTCAATAGAGACACTATGGATGGGCAAGTAAGGCCCCCTGGCATATGAGCCGGAAAACAGGGATATGCACTCCATCGACGCTGCTATGAATTTGGAAAATACTGGGCGAAATCTTTAGTTGTGCTTTAGGCAGAAAAAAGGTTACCCGAGTGTACTCGCAGTGCCGATGGACAGGGAGGGGCAATGTCAATGTAGTCCACGCACAAACACCGACATATTGGCTTAACTTTAGGGGAGTACGTTTATTATCTGAGAATTTAATGCCGCGGAGAGCACAATATTTCGGTTTAACTATGCTATAGTTATGGGACTGGTTATCCTTCGTCCGTGCAGACACGTAGTCAGGATTTTCAAACGAACCTGCCAGCTTAAGCATGGTAGAGGGGCGCACACCGATCACGTTAAGGAACTTGCTCATCCGTTGTGTTTTGGGACCTTCTATCGAGTCCCACCAGCAACTGCACGTGTAATATAGGCGGGACAGCGTTACCAACAAAGGCAAGGGAGACTAGAATAGCCATTTCTGGCTTGTTAGCCATCGTCAGTTAACCAAACCCAATCCCAAAGGTCTGCAACCCTTGGGCCTCGACTTTGTGACCTACTGGTTAGAAGTCCAACGCTCTAAGTACTGAGCCACCGGCTCGTTGTCCTGTCGGTTTTAACTCAAGTGACATTGATAGGGGGACTAGAAAAATGTCTGCAGCGAAAAGCGGCATAGTGTGTTGCAAGAATTAGCTTGTGAATATGTCCCGCATTAACCAGAACTACAGCCTCATGTAAATAGTATTTTCTATTTTAAAGTATAGTTGGAGATTTCAGGTGGTTGAGAGTGAAGTTTATGTGCGTGACAGTTCGACCGTCGATCCCAACGGCGTTCACAGCGTAGCCCACAGTGGGGTAGACGCGGGGGCGGTGACTTGCGCAGCATCTATCGCATTCTACCCTCCTTTCCCATATGGGTCTACTACCATGACAGAATCAAGAAGACCAGAAGGGTGAGAGGGTGAAGGTGCGTGGCGCGGCGCGAACCCGCGCCAACCACCCCTGGTCCGCGCACAAAGGACCAGGACTTCACTCAGTTAGAAAGGCGGACGTCTCGGGTCCCGGCTTAGTGGAAGGACCCATTACAGTCTGCATTTCAGTCCATCAATCGGCCAATCACTAGCCGAAATACCATCCGAAGTCCACAAACATCGTTTCCCTAGTCAAGGCAGGCAGATTTCACTTTTACAAGCTTCGGGGCAAATATGTTATTTTTATTTTACATGAAAACTCGTGTACCCCACTGTACATAAGACCAGTGTTATTGTTCACAAAGTACCCGATCAAGTCAGAACTTTTTCCAGTTTTCCAGGAAGGCCAAGGGGCAGCTTCGAAGGATCATTTTCGTTTAAAAAATAACATTATGGGTAATGACCTTATCCACATGCGGCAGCCCCTACTGACGAACGCGAACCTTCAGGAGTCAGTCTCAATTAGCGTTCCTTTTGGGCTACCAATTGGGTTAGTCTTGGAGATTGGTGGAGCGTTGTTTCTGTATGCCTCTCATTCATGTTCCTTTTCCTCCTCTTACTCCTGTTTGTGTAGTTGGACCAGACGTTGAGGCGTTGGCTGTTTACGCCGGCCTCGAACCGCCCTCCTTCTTGCACCTCTTTCCACCCACGGTCCGCAAAGAGCAGGGCGCATTCTACCATCTGAGCGTAAGTCGCTTCTCCTCCTCCTCCTCTGTGTGTGTTCACAGCCATGTGTGTTTTTATTCGTCTCGCGCTCTTGTGCTGGCCTGACACACCTACACACACGATTAATTCAGACCTCTGTCTCCAAGCTAAGAAAGCCCTTTCACACAAATACGACAGATGGGTATGGCTCCCTCATGCCTATCGACTAACATCGGACGCGAGCTTTTGGTGCGAGGCCAGCGTTTTAGGCCGCACAGCCATTGGAGTCTCACCCCTCACACTGCGTTCTATGTGCAAGCCTATGACGGGTTCCCTGTGCATACTTTTGGCATCGTAAGGCAAATCGTCACTATTTGTCCACACGGCCGGTCACTGCCGACCCAGTAACGCAGTATAGTGTCACACTAACCACTCAGATAAAATATTTCGAAACAATGAGGTTCTATCCAGGTGTCTTTCTGACGATCATTGCCCACCATTAGTTCGCCTGCAACCTTTCTCCGTCAAGGAGCCTTAAAATGTTCAGTCGACGTTCCGTCGAGTGTGACCATTTCTGGTACAGTCACGGTTGTGGTTTGGAAGAGGGAGGTTGATGCTGCGCAGTTCGCACGAAGGTCACCCCACCGTCCGGGAGATGACGGTCCTCTTCGAGGACGGCAGAAAGAACATACAGTAGGTGGGCTAAATCATAAGATGTCAACCGAAATTCTGAAATGCGTTTTCGTTTCAAAAAGATTAATTAAATTGGGTTGTAAAACTAGTGGGCCTGCGACATAATTCAGTAATATATCAGTTTCTCAGGATTCCGGCTTTGGAATGAGCTTCTTTACGGCTGCATGCATAAACCGTACTCTGTAAAAATGCCTACTTAAGTTGCATGCATTTTTCCCATTGATTTTCAATGCCCTTAAATATTTAATTATATTTCATGGAAAGCATGCAAAAAAAATATTCATTTTTTGCTCACTTGGTAGAAAATTACGTCTTCTTCCAGATTTATACTCGAAGGAAGGACATCATTTGGCTTTCAAAAACTTTTCCAATTTCCGAATAATTTTGAACCTGCACTACCGTTACACTTGAATCCAGGGTTTCCAAACTACAAGCCGTATATTTTCCGCGTACGGAAAACCACACATTTCATTGTGGTAATAAAGGGGGACCATATAGGGTTCATAAAATTTAGCATTGGATTTGATCCGTATTGTCAATATTACAAGCCACATTGGTAAATGCAGAGATATGACGATTTATGAACGGTCATTTCACGGTATCTTAAAGTCCCACAATTAGGAACGTTTTTAAATCGAATTTTGTCCCTCCTTCGAAAATATAATTGGAAGAATACGTAATTATCTACCGAATGAGCAAAGGAATGAATATTTTTATTCATGTTCTCCATGCAATATAATTGGACTTTTAGGGACATCGAAAATCAATGAGAAAAATTCATGCTACTTCAATAGTCATTTTTTACAGACTGTAGTTTGTGCATGTAGCCGTAAGGAAGTTCATTCGAAAGCCGGCACCGTGAGGTAACTGGAATATTATTGAATTATGCTTGCAGGCTGACTAGTTTTACAGCCCTACTTAATTAATCTTTTCGAAGCAAAAACGCATTTCGGAATTTCGGTTGACATGTCATGAGTTAGTCCACCTACTGTAGGTCCAGGTAATTCCCACTTCAAGGTTGACCGAGTGAAGAAGTAAAGGAATTGGCCGATGTGGAGGTAGGGTGGTTCGTCTATCGACTGTGACCTTGGCCACCATTATCTTTGGCGTGAATTTGCTCCTAGTCAGGAGGACCTTAGCGGCATCAACCCTACTCTCTGCACATCCACTGTGCTTCAGTGCCAGGTCTAGGTCAGGATGACCGCCGCGAACTTGAGCGCAGTAGCACAGCTGCGTCACAAAAGCCTCTGTCAACATGTGTCACATCACGACTGATTCCCCTCTCCTGGCCACACCAGGCCTCCCGCTCAATCTCACCTTGTGCGCGCATTTAGTGCGGTGTGAAATCACAGGTGACAGCTGGGTGTCAGATAAGACCAGAATGAGATGACCACTTCAAGCAGTTGGGCATTAGTGCGACTCATTTGTTCATCCGAGAGACTGTCCAGCTCTAGGCCTCCAGCCTGTAAGCGTGCAGCTATAATCAGTTGAGTACAGACGGAGAGAGAGATAGTGGATGCGCTGACTTAACTTCGCCATCACCACCTTAGCCAACCTTAAAGTAACCAGATCAGAACACCACGTCTGAGACCCGATTCTTCAGATGAAGAAAAGCCTCTATCTTCCCTGTGGCGACGAAAACTAGTTCCACTTGAGGGGTTCGACAGCCTGTGTGCGCATGACAATATCTCACTCAGGTGTTTCCGTAAGCCATTATATATGGCGACGGAATCTTTTCTAAGCTATATTTTGGTAGTTTTTAGATATCTGGCCACAAAACCTTGACAAAACCAAGCTGCGAGGCCGAGCCAGCCCCGTGTTGGACATCAGCGCCATGCGTGGCGTCGGCACCAGTAGTGGCAACGGCTGCTACGGCTAGGCAATATGCTGCTGAGGGACACGATTTGCGAAACAGTACACTGTTACTGCCACAGACTTCTGTCAACTTATGTGTAACCGCTTCAATGTCCTTTACTACCGACAGTTCGGCCGTCATTGCCGATGATGTCCACCGTGTGCTACACACCAAGGTGCCAAAGACACGACGACTTGCGCGTGAATTAGTTTGTAATGATAGTGGACTTGCGCATCATCCACCGCACTCCCTCTTTCCCACTCCCCACCTGGACCCGGTGCCAAGACAGAGTCAAAAAAGACCGAAGGCGGGGAGGGGTGCAGGTGGCTGGCACGGTCGAGTCCGCACCTTGGCGTTTCACTGCACATCCGCTGGTCCACGCAGCAAATGACCAGGCCTTTGACCAACAACAACAACACCACAACAGGGGTCAGAAGGACGAAGATGGTGATTGGGCAGCCATGCCTACCATCTGTATACCCAGCAAGCACATCTACCGACAGGGAACCAGGTTTCGGGGAACTACCAGCGCATTCCAGGCTGTGAGAGTCATGGTTTACGGATGCTGGCAAAGCACACGCTTTCAGATCTTTTGAACTAGAAGGGCGACACGTGGTCCTGCATCTGCCCTTGGTCGTCACTCCTCATGGTTAGGTAACCAAACAGTCGTTGGCTGAGGGGCACTATCCAAAAGGCACTCACACTCTCCTCACATACATGGGAGTGTTACCGATCGCATGAGAAGGGGTCGTGACCAGTCCGCCACTCCATACGCTACACACGACCACCACAATCATCAAAAATATCATGATTTCAGTTTGACGAGCTCTCCCTTCACACATCAGTTCGACTGTTGCGAACGACAATATCCACTGTATGCCCCATAGCATGGTAGGAGCAGGACGGTGACTTACGTGGGAAGTAGTTCATTGTGATACCAGACTTGCTCAGCACTTGCCGCGTTCTCTCCTCCCTCACCTACCTGAGCCTGGTGGCAAGATGACCGGGTGCGGTGGATGACAAAGCTGAACAGCCAGTCACGACCTGTTCCGCACACACACACACACACAATGAACCAGGTTTTTACAGAAACCCAGGGAGTGCCTCGGATCCCATCTGAGTGGAAGCGTTGCATTCGGGAGGAGCCTTTGCAGCCTGACCCTCCGTCCTGGGAGGAGCACCGAGCTATCCCGTCAGTTGGCAGCCTCCCAAGCTGTGGCTTTTAGCGACCTGTTGCCTCTGTACGATGTGTCCCCTCTGGGTGGACATTCCCTACACTCTGCTCCCTCTACACACACACACGCACCTTCTTACGATCAGCCGACTTTGAGCAACCAGTAATGTAGACGTTATTTTTATTTATATGATCTTTCTTTTTTCGCACAGAATGGCAAGGTATACGGGCAGACGGATTGCATTAGGACCCTTATTGAAAAGCTGGACAATATGAAATTCAGTCTTGCTGAGTTGAGACAACGACCCCGCCCACCGGATTTGGATACAACGCGCCTCGAAACCTACCTCACCGACGAGGACTTCGAAGTGAGTGATGTTTCCATCTTGTCATCTAGTTTGCCGCTGTCAGTCTCGCCTGTCTCATAGCTGGGATGATGCCTGCTTTTTGAGCCTTGCTCGCTCCCCGAGCATCAAATCCATAACTTTTGCGGGAGCCTCACTACCCTCCACCTGCTTTGCTATCCCTAAGGGTAAAGCAGTCAGATTTCCAGGCGGATCATTGGTTAACACGGATAAGCCAGTCTGGCGTTGGTCTTGACGGAAATCCCCCTTAAAGAGCATGTACCTTCCAGTGCCCTGAGGAATTTGAAAGTTACCGGTGGATTCGAAAGCTTAGCGTTGGTTCAAACGTTAATTTTGTCGGTATTTGAGGTTGTCCACTGGCCTCACCAGCTAACGTTGAGCTACATTGGCCAGAGCACAGGGAACGGTGCGATTAATGCCTGCAAACGACTAACCGGAAAGTTCAATTTCAAACCCCTTTTGAAAATTAATCAGTCTACTGAGTTGGCAGGCTCAGCTGTGTCCATGTGTACAGGGGCCAAATGCAGCGTGTAGGTGAGATGAGACTATCCTCTGGTTGTCTTCTTGCCAGACGTGGAAAGATCATTTGCGACGAGAAGCTTAAAAATGATGCTTATTTGGACGTTTCGCTGTCTTTTTGTGGCTCGACGTAAGCCTGTCTAAGTCTTTCCCGGGTGGTGAATGAACAGCACATACCCGCTGCATCCGAAATGACAGAATGGTCATCTGAACAGCCCCTGCTTTTCAGTCCTACTGATTTCTTAGGATGATACCTCACTCAGAATGCCACCTTCGGGTGACCTAGCTGTAGGACTGGCTTATATGGCCCCCTGGACAGGACATGGGAATAGGTACGCCCAGCCAAAATAATAGGTGGACCTGCACATAATTCCAGAAAGAACTAAATATTTTCGTGTCCTAACTCTAACAATAACCCTAATATAAAACTTAATCTTTGCCCTAATCTTGACCCTAGACCTAACTTAAACCATGGCACGGCAACGGTATAGAGAAGGGCCCCAATTAACTGTCAGTAGACTGTGGATAATGTCATATGAGGTTTTATCTTGGCATACATTTGCAGGCTGTTCCAGAAATTACACTGTCAACGACGATTACTTCCCACGACCTCACACTCTAACTCAAAATCCGTTACTGGGTGAAATTTGCTTTTTGGTCATTGTTTGATTACTACTCCCGTTTTCGTTCTCGTACAATAGCGTAGGATAAGACTTTCGGCAGGGATTCAAACAATTGTTGTGTTTTCTTTCATTTTGTCAGCTTACTGTCTAGCGTGCTGCCCCATCCATAAAACTTCCTTTATCATAAATCACGTATGGCACGATCCACAGTTTACTGACTGTTAAGTGAGGTCCTTTTCTATACCGTTGCTCATGACACTAAATTCTAAACACTAGTCCCAACGTAACCCTAAACTTCATCCTGGCTTACCTTACCGTTAACCTTAAGTCTAGTCCTAAACCTAATCCTTAACCTAACCCTAGCCCCAACCCTTATTTCACCGGAAGTTAGCTCAAAGCCACCCGTATTGCAGGGTGTTCCTATTCCTATGTCCTGTTACGTGGGGCCACATAAGTCAGTCCCACCAACTTAACCCCACTAGTCTCGCTGTCTTAACCTCTTCTCTTCCTTATTTAGCGTGCATTTCGAATGACCAGAGCTGAGTTCTCCCAACTGCCGCTGTGGAAGAAACGCAACCTGAAACGAACTCTGGATCTCTTTTAGACAGCTAGTATCATCGTCCTCGTCACACACACACACACCCAGCTTGCCATATCACCTCTTCAACAGATTTTGCCTGGTTAGTCTCCACTAGCAGATCAGGAACCAGTCTCCCAACTCCAGCCACGCTGTTATCCAACCCCGACTCTCCTGCCGCTGACCTGTGATATTATTCCCCCCTCGGCGGCGATATGTCCCCGGTTTTTTTTTCAGATGTTCCCTCCTAACCCTCATGTCTTGGCCTGTTTGCATTCTGTTTTTTGCGATTTGAAGCCTTAGTACTTTTTTCTTGTCAAACAACTTCCTTGCTCACAATTTCGATTTTGCACTGTTCTTTCTTTCCTGAGAGAGAGGTAGACAGGTATATATTTATAGCTTCCATCGTCGTATCCCCTTCACCAAGCGTATAACGTGGTTCCTATATCTGTCTTATCAGGAAGCCATTTCCGGTCGTTTTTCTTCTGATTACCTGGCTTTCCGCCTACTGTTTATTTTTCAACAGAGCGGCGGTGTTTGCCTGTGCGCTGGCATGCGTGAATTAGATGGCAATTGCATCTCCTGAGTCCCTGGTTGTTTTACTCTGTCTTGGGCGTCCCTGCCGATTGATTTCCCGAGTCGCTTCTCGGCCTTTCTGTCACCCATCAGGAAGTACTGGGGTTCACCGGTTGTAGCATCCAGCCTCTTGGGATCATTGACTTCTTACTTGCTCTTCTGAAGGCTGTGGAGTCCGGTGGTGTGTGTGTGTGTGCCTCTGATGCTCACGCACCCGATGGAGGCACATTTTTATGCCCGGCGAAATTGAATTACAGATTATAATGAAGACAGCGAACACTTCACTGTCAACGTTAGCGTTCGACAGTGTCGTGCTAGCTAAGCGGCAGAAGCGACTCTGTGCACAGCCGTTTACTAGACCTCCGTGCCGCCGTCCTTAAATATTTCTTCGCTACTGCGCTGCTTGGAAAGCTCTCCGAGGAATCACAGTCTGCTCTTGGACGGATGGCATTTTTCTTAGATTAATGCGGTCCAAAGGTGGAATTTGGAATAGCCGGGGTACTGCTCGGTGACTTTATACCATTGGTTGCAGCAATCACCGTCTGGGTGATTGGCGCAACCTGGTGAGGCCAGCCAGTGTCTTTTCAACGCCGGTGAATTTGTATATGAAGTCTGATTGAGTTATGGTAGTGCAACCGAGAATTCGACCGTCGCAAGCGAGGATGTTCACCTCGTTCCCCACGGGGTGAGCTCAGCACCGCTGAATGCGCGTTTATAGTGAGGCAAACGTGCGCAGAGCCTGCCACACTCTTCCCCCTCGCCCACCAGGCTGACAAAGCCAAACAATCCGTCTACGCGTGCCACACACGGCTTGGTTCCTTCGACAGTCCCGCTAGCACGTATGGTGTTGTCTACCGTTTGCCCTACAGCGTGGTGGGCACAGAGACGGTGACTTGGGTGTGAATTTGTCCACAATAATAGCAGACTTGCGTTGCATCTGCCGAGCCCTCTACCCCTTCTGGGCCTGGTGGCAAGATTTAGGTCAGGACGACCAGAAGCCTGCTCGGCCTGAAAAAGCCTAACGGGGAATCACAGTCTGCTCTTGGACGGATGGCATTTTTCTTAGATTAATGCGGTCCAAAGGTGGAAGTTGGAATAGCCGGGGTACTGCTCGGTGACTTTATACCATTGGTTGCAGCTATCACCGTCTGGGTGATTGGCGCATCCTGGTGAGGCCAGCCAGTGTCTTTCTAACGCCGGTGAATTTGTGTGTGAAATCTGATTGGGTTATGGTAGCGCAACCGACGATTCGACCGCCGTGAGCGGGGATGTTCATCTCGTTCCCCACGGAGTGAGCTCAGAACCGGTGAATGCGCGTCAATTAGTTCATAATGAAGCAAACTTTCACAGCACCTGCCGCACTTCTTCCTCACCCGCAAGACTGGCAAAGCCAAACAATTCGTCTACGCGCATCACAGACGGTTTGGTTCCTCCGACAGCCCCACGGGCGCGAACGGCGTTGTCTACCGTTTGCCCTACAGCGTGTTGGGCACAGAGATGGTGACTTGGGGGTGAATTTGGTTACAATAATAGCAGACTTGCATTGCATCTGCCGGATACTCTACCACTTCTGGGCCTGGCGGCCAAATTGAGGCCAGGACGACCAGAAGCCGGCTCGGGCTGAAGAAGCCAAACAGTCCGTCTACGCGTGCCACACACGCGCCTGCTCCGTGCAAAATGAACCAAGTTCGCGAACAAGGGCGAAATTTCGAGTCCCGGGTGTATGCGTAAGTGAAGGAGGAGGAGGAGGAGGAGGAGGAGGAGGAGGAGGAGGAGGAGGCACTGCTGACGACGTCCTAAGTTAGCGCACTGTCATTGTTGCCCATAAGCATGACGTTATTAGAAGAAATAACCACATGAATATGGGCAATTCTAAACCTTCTTAGCAGATGGTTAATTTTTTAAGAATGCAATATTTACAGCTCAGTGTGCACAAACATGGAAATTAATTTTGTTATGTGTTAGCGTACCAGCTATTCTGATCATGAAATGATGCACTTTAAAGTCGGACGCTAATGAATTTTAGATCGAGTTGACATGACACGGTCCACTTTTACAAAAATCGAATCATGTTAGGCTCCGGAGCTCCACCAAGGAAAACCGCTCCATAAGGGACCGCCCCAAATTACTGCAAACGATCAGACGAAAATGCGGAGGTTGCATAATCTTCGATTCTGCCAGCCTCTCTCCGTACGTTTCGGAGGTGTTCCGAGTGAGCATCTGTTATTTGATAAAATCTACTATGGCAGTCTCACTAGCGCGAACGGCGCTGTCTAGCGTTGTCAGGACGACCAGAAACTGGCTCAGGTATGGTGGCTGACAAGGCTAAACTGTCGGTCTACGCGTGCCACATACGGTCTGATTCCTACTAAATGTGCCATGCTTCTATGAGGTCGACATGGATCTTACATAACTGAGAATGCCATATAGGCCGCATTTATAAGCAGCCATTGCAGGCTGACTCTGAGTTCTCCGGTCACTCCCAAAGTGCGCTCAATGAAGACCGAGTTATCCTCTCCAGTTGGCAACCTTCCAAATCATGACTACTGGCTCGCCATAAAAAATCCAAGCACACGAGGTCTTCTGTAATGAGAAGTGTCCTGATGTGTCCCGAGAATGGATTTCCCAGTACCGGCGTCACATTCTCTTCCCTATTCCAAGAACAGGTCGACTGTCCCAACCTGCCAACAAACGGATGACACGATTGGGCGCAGTGGCTGACGCAGTGTGCCAGTATACCCCCTCCCACCCCCCAGTGTGTGCCAGTATTTATGTGCTCGCGCGTGCTCTGCGCAACTCCATTAACGCATGTCGTAAGCCAGTCTGACCATGGTTTTGATTCCGTCTATCTACAGCGCAGGCCGCTGTTGATTTAGAGGTGCCAACCATGCTCTGACTCTCGGAAATTGCGCCCCATCTGGCTCCCAATCTACGTGTCCCAATCTGGCCACATGACCGCCATGTGTGGAAAAGAGAGATGTGCACCAAGGCCGCCGAAGTGGTCATCATATTAGTCAGCGTCACCCTCAAGTCATCCTTGCCACTTGAACTCCAGTCGGTTTAACCGCAGTTTCCGAATCCTGCTACAATGGGCTATGCAACCTCCCGCGGACAGCCCAGATTAAATCGAACCGTTTTATATTCACATGCTACTAAGTTAGGACGGACTTCCGCAGTCTTCTGGTGGTTTAATCAGCGAGATATAGGGGACCGCTGACAGCCTCTTTGGGGAGAAAGTGGCCAGACTAGATGCCCTTATAAATGCAGGCTTGTCGCGGCAGCTTAAGTCATAGGCAAACCGTAGCTACTACGAACTTCAGATCCGGTCCCGAATAGAAAGATGTAAATGTAAACGCTAGTAGACTGAAGAACGAGTTGTAACAAGTTAGCAGTTGGACAAAAGGCCCTGGTCCGGCGCAGGGGATCAGGCTCCACAAACGTCAGTGGTGCGCCTCGAGTGAGCGCATGTCCGAGTCGGCTTTGAAGTTAACTGACAGACCTGGGTAGCTCTGATTGGCTGAGGGCCGTGCAAATAGAATGCAGCTGGCGGCTGGAGTAGGGATATTACAGGCTTACAACTTCGACACAATCAACCCTGGCCGTTAGGGAGCAGTAAATGAAGGCGAAACAGTATGCCAGTAACGTTTAACCTCTAGCACCTTCTGCTAGAGTTAATTCACTCACACAAACCGTTCTGGTCCATACAGAAATGGCCATTCCAGTCTTCCTTGTCTTTGTCGGTAATAACATACTGCATGCATCGTCTCTAAGTTAACCCAACGACCAAGGCGTCGTTTTTGTCCCCTGTTAGTTTCTCAGATAAGAACAGATTTCACAAAACAAGATGACCAAGTGGGGGATCGCGTACCCGGAACGGTTTCCTTATGAACGGTACAAGGTGGGGGGGAGGTCGTCGCCTAGTATTATATCTGCCAAACGTCGGTTACCCGTCCGAGAGCAACTTTTGACCCATCACACCATGACTTATCTTTGGGGGAAAATCGGCCAAGTTATCAGCATTTATTCCCTCACGACAACCAGCCTTGACTATCCGAAAGACGAGTTTTAAGACTACTGGAACTCTGTCACTGCATCTTTGCCGAAAATGGACAATCTCTTCATTTTCAGACCATTCACTTCTCGGGTAGACGCGGACAGTGTTGCCAGACTGACATTCTGGGAGCATTTGCAGTGAAAGTGCAAATCAAACTACGACAATGCAACTACGTCGTGAGGATGCTAAATCAACGCCCATCGAAGCAGCTTTTCTATATAATCCTTGCTGCAGGTTATTTCATACAAGGAAGATGGGAGCAACGGCATCAAGACGCGTTAAACTCTTTGCTCAAACACCCCGGGGACGACTCAGGAGGCTTGGAAGCATCTAGCACAAGATTCGCAGCCATGGCGACCTGGTGTGCAAAGTAAGACTGCAACTTCCCATGCCAAAC